CAACAGGAAGTAAACCGTAAAAAACAATTGAATCTACCTTCACCAGGAAATATATATATATATATATATTTACAGTAAATAATCATTCATGTGTAAGATTTAAATATAATGATTCAAATGATCCTCCGTAATTGATTTATATAGAGCTGTATGATTATTTACATTTTCGCGTTCATTCCGTCACGTTCTCAAGCGCGCGAAACTAATGTGACCTACGTAACACTGTCACGCTGGGAACAATACGTCGTGATATTACTAACTCATTACTTACGCATAACTACAGGCCTTAAATATTACGTGTAGAATAACAGGTTTCTTTCTAAAATTGCATAATTTTGGTACTAAAACAATGCAATCGTAATATAACGAATGACTTACAAATCCAAATTTGTTCATAACCTAAAACCTGTAATTAATATTACAAAATAAATGAAACACGAATTCGCCAAATTCTTTTGGCAGAACGACAGACGTAATTCGCGTTGTCAAACTGAAATACAATTAAATATATTCCAACAAATCGAACTCCAAGATGAGTTACTGTATGCCCTTCGGGAATGTCTTTGCTTGTTCTTTTTCACCATCTAAAATTATGACAGGTCTCGACTAGTAGACTTCGTGTTTCAGCTACTTTTATGAACCCGTATAAGTAACACCTAGACTACTACTACGTCTTCACGCTAAACGTCTATAAATAGCAATATAAACTTCCGTGGAAAGCATGTAATACTGAGAAGCTGTCAACAAAGTTTCATGCATTCTGACACGTGAAATTACTCAGTCAGGCCACAAGACTACATTATTTTGAAGTTATAAAATTACGAAGACTCACCATCCTTAGTTTTCGAAGACGAGTTACTTGAAGTCTTATCCACTTGACAGTTCATGCTTCATGTAGAACAATCCCAATGTACGAAGTATCCCAGTCTCACCGAATTAAAATAATCATATCGGATATTCCAAAAATGAAGAGCACAAATCACCACACACAACACACAAACCTCACCACCACCGCCATTGCCGACTCAAAGCATAGGCACCTTGATTGTTCACGTGCAGTGGTATGCACTCGAATAGAGAAATACTTCATAGATAGCAGCACTTGATATCGGCTCTTGAAACACTGCCATCTAATTCTCCACATGCCTGATCAAATCACAGAGAAAGCAAAAGACAAGGACAGTAGATGGAGTATGAAGCTTGGTGACGCTTAACCTAAAAGTAATTTATTGTTATACAGTTGTGTCGTTGGTATAAGTCGAATAAATAACAGATTTTACAATGCTTAGTAACCATAAGGATACATGTGATGATTGCATTATTCTTTTATTTACGGTAAGCACCAGTTTGTTGAACGTTAGTGGTCTTGAATTAATATTAAAGTTCGAAAATATAAATGCTGTTGTCGATTGTTTTTATGAGGCTTAAAATGAAGTTCTGTATAGGATAACTTAGCAGTAGATAGTTGCGTTATACTGAAGAATATTGTTACCAGTCCTCAGCATATTTTACAGTTAGGAGTCTAGATTTCCGCAGATATTTTATGATGCACGTTTGCAGTAGTTTGCACTTATTTCAATCACTTGACGTTGGTAGGCACATGACTTTTCAGTTATAGGATGACTGCTGTGGTGCAGAACTCTATTTTTTCGGTCTCTGGTACCGTTAAATTATGAAAATATGTGTCCCATGTCCGACCTAATTATTAATTTCTCCATTTTGTCAACACAGAAAAAACATTTAATTCCTGCTCTGGCTTCAAAATCTTCTTTCTAGTGTATCATTGATCTGCTAACTTCGTTGTGTAGGTATATAATTTTATTTATCCTCAGTCACCTGTCTTACCCATTCTATATACATAGTCTTTACACCTTTACCCTGTAAATTAATTTCCTTTATAGGTATTTTCTTTTGGTCTGAAGTTTGATTAGTTTATCCTGAATAATAAATTGGGAAGGGTGTGGTCATGTCTTAATTAAAAACACTATGCAGAATTTTTCCTGGAGGACCTGAGGAGAAACACAGGAAATCTCAGGATACTTGGTGTCCCAGCTGTGTTGAACCAGGCACGTTTTGAACACAAAATGTTTCACCATGCTGATTCAGGCAAGAGGTGAAACATTAGATTTCAAGATCCATAAATCTGTAAATTCTGTTTGGAATAATGATGAACTGCCTCAGCAATGGATGGAGTCTATTATTGTTGAAGATGGGTGATAAATTGACTACTCATAGCAATTACTGAGGCATATTGTTGTTAACTTCATACAGGATGTTTAATATTCTCATCTAAAGGTTAACTCCATATATAGATGAAGTTACTGAGGATTGTCACTGGATTTTAATGTAACAGATGAACTACTGATCAGAGTTTTAGCAGTCTTCAGACACAGAAAAAAAAGGTAGTACACTGATACAGTACATTAGCTATTTAAAGACTTCATTAAAGCCTGTGATTCAGTTAGGAAGTACTGTACAATGTTCTCACTGTGAAACTAAGCCAGGATAATTGAAATATGTCCAAATGAAACCTATAGTGAAGTCCATACAGGTGAACATTTGTCTGTTTCCTATTCAGCATGGTGTAGACATGGAGATGCTTTACCACTATTGCTTTTCACCTTTGTTTTAGAACATTCAATTAGAAAGGTTCATGAAAACCAGGCAGGACTGAAATTGAATGGGACATATCAGCTTCTGCTTTATGCTAATAATGTTAATATATTCATAGAGAACATAAATACAACGAAGCCTGATAGTAAACAGAGGAAACCAAGTGTATGTTGATGTCTTAAGTCACCAGAGTGTAGAACAAAATTAAAACAAAGACACTTAATAGATTGTTTGAAAATTGGGTAATGACACGAGCAAATTAAATATGGGCAATACTTGGCTACTTTTCAGTTCAGTATCTTATCTTCTTGTCAGCTCTCTAAAAACATAAAGATGGAAATATAAAAAGCAGTAATTTTTCCTGTAGTTTTGTATGGTATTAAGTAATTGTGAATTGTGTGAGTGCAAGAGCGAATGTGCAATAAATTCGCTTGCTCCAAGATGGTGTAAAGTTATTTGTCGCATGACCCACCCAACACGTGACATTATTAAGGGGCCACAGTTTTTGAGAATGGGGTACTAAGGAGAATGTTTGGATCGAAGATGGATGAAGAAAAATGAAGTCAGATAAGACTGCATTATGAGGCACTCCACTTTAAGGAAAGAGAGATAGTGGAGTTAAAACATAGAATGAAGTCCAGAACCTAAGAAATCCTAAGTGAATTACACCATCAGAACCATTTAGAATTGTTGAAGCTGTGCATTTTCTCAGACTCTTCCATGGGGGTTCAGACATTTGTTCAATCCTTTGAGGGAGTACAGGGAATATAAAATGTTTGAGAATTACTGTCCAAGAGTATCAAAATTCTTATTTCTGTGACCATTGTCCTTCTGTCTCTGTCACTGCACATCTTATATCTGGAAAGCTGGAATGACAAAAAATAGAATAAATAGACATACCTGAAGAAGCATTGGCCTTCATAGCTGCTTCCAGCATATGCTAGTCTTCATGGCAAACAACATTCTAAAAAAATTACATATTTTTTTGACAACCTGAAGAATCAAGGAAATAAAATTTTAGGTAGCTAGAAATAAGATATAAAAAAGTTGTAAAATAACACTGAAACACCCAGAGAAATAATAGGCCCTAATTGTAAACAAAATGACTCACACAGATCAGTCTAAAGTGTGAGTTTTTTATAAGATGAGTAGAACTGAGATGAATTCCAATTTAACAGAAGGTTCTGGCATGAACTAATTGCCCGACTTTCCTGACACACAGAAAACTATGTGCCCAACAGTTCTTCTGTTGTTGCATGTGTATCTGTTTCCACAGGAAAGTGTTTACTGAGCTGTTGCCCAAACAGTACAGGGGGGGTTACATATACAGGCACACAGCAAGGTGATCTCATATGCCTAGTTTCATTTTTCAAAATAGGGAAAGTAGATTAAAGAAACACAGGGGATATCTATGCAGTTGTATGTCAGTTTTGGAGTATCAAATCCATACTTCCCAGGCCTGGGAAGTGGGCACTGAATGCACATCATGTCAGGAATTTATGAGCTGAAACACATTATGCAGCAAGGGCTCATGTTTGTTTAAAACTTTTTCTAGTAGCAGTAGCAGCAGATAAGAAGTAAAAAAAAAAAGTAAAAGTAAAGCTATCCCTGTAACAGGCCATGAAGGCCCAAAGGGTTGTGAGACGTTGAGGGTCCTACGTTATCTAGACAATTGGCTCAAAGATGGTGGTAAGGTTGTCAGCCTTACGCGCCGGCCACGCTTTACTCCCCAGAAAAATTATTATTTAATTCCTGGTACATAGAAAGAAAAAAATTTGGGGGGTGGACAAAATGAAACATTGTTATTTGACATCAATCAGTATTGAATCATTCAATAGCTGAAGTTGATGACTTGTTCTTAGAGCAGTAATTCATTATGTATATAGATAAAGTCCTTTTTATATTGTCACGTAGTATGGGTGACTAGACTGGGTATGGATTGGTGAATGGATTTATTGACCACCTATACACACCCCTCAGAATTACCAGTAATTACAGTGCCACCATTATCTCCACAATTCACAAATTACCACAACAACCACTGAGCCTTATCCAGGCTGCTGTGTCTTCCCTAGCCATTCCCCGGCAACAGCTTTTAACAGTGGAGATCCTTCAGGTTCCCACGCTGAGGTCCTTCCTTTCCAGTGAATATCCTGCAACTGAACTCTCTGTTTCTCTCAGCTCAAAGTCAAAGTCACATTACGACTGACTGTCAGTCAGTCAGTAAGTCTTGGTGTTGAGCCTCATTTGGGGCTCACGACCAGATATTAATTATTACCGTTTAACAGTTATGGTCTTGTTTCTGTGGTGCGCCTTCTCTGACGAGAGGATGGGTCTGTCTTTTGTATATGCTGCTGGTCCTTGCCAGTGCAGTCTTTCTCGAGTCCGAGTCCCTTGGGACTCGCGACCATATTTTACTGTCTCAGAATTGAGACTTCCCTTTTTGTCACCTCCTACGTATCACAGGGTCACGGTGGAGGTATTCGACCCCGCCTCCATACAGGGTTGACTGTTCTCCCAGCTGGCCTGGGGATCCTTGTTATATAGTTCCGGGATGGGCCCAACAGAAAACACCACCACAACAGTACGACTACTGTTGTGGACAGTTGCCTAGCAATAACTCGGATATTGTTGATGTATTTACCAGCTGTTGACTCATTGTTTTGAGGTCTGCCTAGCAACACGTCTGTATGCCACAATATCCAATTAACAATGACTGATTCTCTTTTCTGGTGACCAAACATCATACATCCGTATTTGTCCACTGCCTAACTTGCAGGTGTCAAATCCTCACTGCTGTCTCTGCTTCTTAATGCTAATTTTTTCTTGGTATTCTCTCTTTTCCATTTTCAAATTCATAAAATGATAAATTAATGCACTATTACCTTGTGAAGGGAAGTTACCCACAAGCAAGAGAACATTATAGTGAACAGACAATAGTTTGTAATTTATTTTAAAGAACAAACATAAGAGTATTCATCTTTCTTTCTGAAAGTCTCCTTTTATATCATAATTTCTTTCCTATTAATATACTGAACACATTCAGTAAATATTATAAATTAAATTAATAGTACATTTACATTATATACCTACATAATTGGCTCAGCATAAAATGTACACATTTACTACAGAACAATCAGTTTCTTAAAAATCATAAATAAAATGTACATTGTAAAAAGAACACAAGAGTGGATCAGGATTCTGTTTGTAGCTCTGTGCAAATACATATATCACAAATAAATACATCAAACATACAAATTCAACCACACACTGCACCCTCTAAAGTTGAACAAATTGGATACTGCCCTATCCACATGACAGAGCCACTCTGCATTACTTTGTGTCCCTAAAGCAGTTCAGATATTGTTTTTTTTTTCAGAGTTCTATCGTCAGAACTGGTAGCGTATTATTATGAAAAATGGTAACATATCTCCATAAGAGAAGCAGTTGTGGTAATAAATAACTATACTAAGGCAAAGAATCTTACAACAAAATTACGTACATTACATACATTCAAATACAGGCAAAGCTTACCTTCATTGTCACATTCATAATCATATTTGTTCTTATACATATGAAATGGATTAATATTTTATATTTTACTGCATTCATTCAGTTTTTTTTTTTAAGATTTTTTTTGGTTTGCGATTTTGATAATGAGTTACAGTGAAATCCCTACTTAATGAGTCTCTGGGTAACAACTTGCTATACTAAATCTTATAAGACTGTATATAAATAGTTAAACTGTTCCTACAAACGTAAATACAATTATATAATCAGTAATATCAAATTAATTTATAATATAGTTGATACATATGAAAATAAAACATGGTGGTCATGCAAGAATGATTTCTGGCAGAAAGAAAATGTCTATACCAAGTGTTGTTCTGGCTACAGTCGTACTGAATAGAGGCACAAGATGTGTATAACGGATTTCTTGCAGTATTTGTGGGTTATGTACTAAACCAGAATTCATTCAATATGGGAAAATAGTACATTACTCTACATTAGCTTTGGCCGGGACCAGAAACGATATGCACTAAATATGGGATTTCACTAAATGCAGGAACACTAAACTGAGATTTCATGGTAGTTCTTAAATATGTTTGGTTAATGTCAACAACATACACTTATTTTTCCGATATATTATGACAATGTAACACACACATTCGGCCGGACTGTTGAATAGGGTATGACGACATGCATCACTTAGTACACTTCAGTTCACACCAATGAATAGGTTCGATACAATCAGACTTAGGTATATGCAGTTATGTTTGGCTCGAATTCTTTCATGCTGTATATATATGCGGTCATCATAATCATACAGTATATACTTAACAATAAAATTATGTTTTATGACTGATACAAACTGCTGTCATGTGATTAGTTCTCATAAAATGTGTCAGTTCTGTTCAAAACAAATAGCTTACATATGTTAGCATGTAGTTCTGCAGTTTGCTATGAGGTACATGAAGCTAGTTTTATTTGAAGATTACTGTCTTCTGAGCTAGTCTGATAGATGGATATTTACCAATGTTTCAGAAGCCACTACTTCCATCTTCAGAGTGAGAGTAAACTATACAGGAACAAGAAGTTCTGGGAAAGATTAATGTGTACTTTCCTTTTATATGACATGGACTGTGTAGAAAATGTTTGAGGCAGTGCTTTCTCTGCTGTCTTCCCTAAAGCTATATAAACAGGACAACTCTCGGCTTTCAAGAATTTGGGGGGGGGGTATGCAGATAGACACAGACAGCAAGGTAGTCTCATAAGCTTCCTTTTGTTTTCAAATAAGGAAAATAAACTAGAAGCGGTTGGTGAAGCAGGGAAGGTAGGCCTGGGACCAAGAGTGAACCAATGGGAAGACATATCCATGAAAGCAGCTTGTGTACGTGTCTGGCCCATTATAGGACTATTTTACTTCATTTAACGTTCAATTTCAGTAATATCGATGTTAAATTACTTCCTTAAGATTCTCCTCAGTTTAGTTTCCAGATACACTGCTACACAAAAAGAGAAGCCTTCGATGGGGCTGTCACTGTATATGTGCAGCCATTTTTCTATTCATTTTACATTGTTCCAGTTTGAATGCTCTCAGCCCCAGTTTTTGTCCTCCTTCCCATATATTATGGACAATTATTTTCCTGTCTTACTTCTCCATGAAAATGGGGGCAGTAGGTTCCTCCAAAACATCTATAAATATTTACCAGACTGCATAGTATCACATACCAGAAAACAGTACTTCTTAGTCACTGCTGTGAGAATGTCAAACCTCACTTTAGTTTCATTTGGAGATGATCAGGGAATGATAATAGTTGTTGTAAGCAATATTATGCAGATAATTAGGCCTTTGTGGCTAATCCAGAAAAACAGGTCTATGCCACCATGAACCACTCATCCTCCAAAAATATTTATTTTCCACTGTACCGAGGTTCATATGAAACCCAGTCACATTTCAGCCCCTCAAGAAAGTGCCAGCGGGCTATCAATGTGGGTCAGTGATGATGTTGCGGCTGTTTTGCAGCAGTTCCGGCAGCAACCCAGGGACTTCTTTATGAAGACTGGTGCCTCAATGCCCATGGGGTATATTTTTAACAACCTCAACTCTCTCACTTAAAAGAATCCTGAAATTGGTTTCATTTGAATAATTATAACGATCACAGGATCAAATTCTCTACAGGACCTTCATGAGAAATAAATAGCCTCTTATTTCTGTAGATCTTAGTTTTGGGAATGCAGTTGTATAGTGAGGCAAGATTATCAAAGTTGGAATTGTTTACAATACAGTAGCAGAGAACCTAAACTAGATTTGTATTTCAGTCTGCTATTGGTATAACATCGAGTTCATCGCGTTCCAGAGCTAATAATTCTGAACCTGTTTTTCCCCTGTTACAACCTTGCATATAATCCATTACATTGAGATGTATCTTAAGTACATACAAAATAAAGTTACAGTACTTACATATATCTTGGGATTTATTTTCATCCATTTTGAAAAGAATGCTGAAATGGAAAGTGAAGAAAGATGCTATTTAAAATCACTTCCTCCCCTTATCAGATATGAGCTCTTCCAATTGTACCTGGTATTCGCCTTCTGAAAGTTCTTTATCTTCGTCAGCATTTCTGCGTCGCCGCCTTCTTGAGTACTGACTTGTAGCTTCAATGCACAGGACTGCAAACCTGTTGTTGCAGGAATATCGTTCTTGATCTAGCAGTTTATTCTTGAGCAATGAAGAGGCAAGGCCCACTTTATCTGTGCTAGCAGAGTGCCATGCATCACAGTACGTATCCATAGCTCTTTCACCTAGAAGATGTGAACCATGCCACACTATCTTCTGTGGCCTAAAAAACAATTACATCAACTAAATTAATCTACCCACCAAACCAGTTAAAAGTTCTGACTTTTGGACTAGTACATTAATCAAACACGCAATGAAGCAATTCACTTCAAACTCCCACATGAAGTTTCATTGGTATGCCGTGAATTTGAACATGTAACTGAGAAAATCTTAACTTGAACACATTTACAAGTAGCATGCAGTAATTACGTCTCATTTTACTTACCAGGCAAAGTCAGTAAGTATATTCTTTCCACTGAAACTATATATTCTTGCCTGCTGAGAGAAGAACCCTCCATCACCGTTGAACATGTCCTTCCATGAATTGAACAAGACTTCACCCTGAAAATTTACAACAAAAAAGTAATTCAGGAGATATAAGGTTCTCACAGTGGTGATAAGATTACTAACATCTAGGATGTGACAATATACAAGGGTCTTATACCCTGAAGATGGAGGCAGCACAGTTCTCCAAACATTTGTAAAACTCTACCAGACTATGTGGCATCACATTCCAGAAGACAGTAACTCGGGTCTTACTTCTGAGAGAAGTCGGCAGTTGCTCTTTGGGCTGGCACAGCCCAAAGAGAAAATGAAAAATGAGGTCAGGTGAACAGAGTGGCCATCTGGGATGGTGCAGGGGTTTTACAACACCTTTCTGTTAAATGAAAATTAATTTCTACTGCTCTTGTTCATACTGTGACCATTAATTGGCAGCAGCAAACCTTCATTTTCTACTACCAGAAAGATAATTTACAATGTATTGTGTTTACTTATTATGTAACAAACATTCAGACAGCACTGCAGATTTCATAGGCAGATTATATCAAATTACATTTTCTGTAAAAAGGAAATATACTTCATACACTAAGTCTCAATTTCACGCTTGGAGAACTGGCCTTGTTTCATGGCCTCTGTTATAATGACAATCTTTGAATTATTAACTGCCTGCCTAACCAACCAACTCACCCATGCTTGCTCACTCCATGGAGATGAGTTCTTTCTGACAAGCTAATAACTGCTCATCCACTCAACAAATTCTAAAAATCTTATGTAACCAAAATTTACATTACTGTGTTCAGAAGAGGATGCCACTAGTCCCTATCCTGAGCCAGATGAATCCACTACACACCCTCCAATCCTTAGTGATAGTGTTTATGTTTCACACTGGCAGTGCCATTTGTAGCAGTTCATATGTGTTCTTTCTGTGAATTATTGGTGTTATTAGTCTAACATATCAGCCACAGGGGTTATCCATGGCTGAAGAAAAAGAAGTGCATTGGAGTTAGGCCAACAAAAATGTGAGAGTGCTCATAAGGACAGCAAAAGAAGGTTAAACATGTTTGATATACAGGTATGAGTACGTCTCCTGAAAATGTGATCCATGACATTTCAGCTAGTTATAAAGCATCAGAGGAATGCTTTGATGAATCTTGCCTGATGATATATAAGAAGATAATACATTTTAGTTAGTTATTTATTTATGGTTTATTTAACAATTATTTCAGTAGCTGAGACTGTATGGTGACAAATAGCGGCCTCCGTGGTCTAGGGGTAACATTCCCACCTCATGACTCAAGGTACGCGGGTTCAAACCCGGCGGAGGTCGTGGAATTTTTAAGGGTGGAAGAATTCAGGGAACAAGTCCTCCAGGAGGGACTTTAAGCCATGGATCCCGTGTCGTAGATTTACGGCACGTAAAAGATCCTCATGTCTCTAGCAGACCTCTGAGCAAAATTAGGCAAGTTTCCCACCCAAGTAGTTTCCAATGCCTCTGGTAGGTGGGGGAAGCATCGGGTACGGAGGGCCGACCTCGTTGGCTGAACGGGGCTGATAGCACACACCAGTACCGGTAGGGTATGGCAACTGGTAGAATATCAAAGGGGGACGTACAATAGACTATTAGTCGAGATGCATGGGGAAACCCACCCCCCTCCAATAATAATAATAAATAATGGTGTCAAATGGTAGAATAATTAATAAATAATAAATTGGAAATTATGTGGAATGAAGCAGTCATGGCATAATTTGAGGAACTAACCAAGCATTTGCCTGGAGAGACTGAAGTAAGTCATGAAAGACTTCAGTCAGATTAGTTAATATCATTATTGGTTGAGCCAACTTGCTCAGTATGATCTAACAGTATGGCACATATACGGGTGGCACTTCATTACATGAGAGGACCCAAAATCCAGAAAATTGCCTAATGCAGCACACATTCTGTTCTCAGCTTGCTGCCTACAGCACCGGTTGTGTAACGTTACCTTGATGTTGACAACTGGCAGTTCTCGGTCAGAGAAACGCACTATCGAATCCAGGTTCTGAACTCTGGAGGAAAGGAATGCTCTGAATGTTCCACGCAGACCTGCCCGTCGTGATTCTCGATAGCAGGAGTAGTCTGCTCCTCTGACACCTGTCATGTCTCCTGTACACGGTTCATTCAAGGCAGCCATCCTCAGCTGGAAGTACATGTGGTCAGGTAAGAACAAACAAAAACATCCTTACTCTATAATCAGTAAGTGCCAGGTCAGACACAAAGCCCCCAATTTCAAGATGAAGGATATAATAATGTGCTGCCTGGTCAGGGCTATCGCACATGTCAAGGGGCAGTGACAGATGTGTATGAAATAATGGTGGAATGGTGTTTACTAAGGCAAAACTGTAGAAACTCAGACAAAAACGTCTCCAGTGTCATTTCATCCACCATTAATGTCACTTAAAGTTACTTGGGTTTGAACCCAAGGTTTTACAGTGACACTTTGAGCTGTGTCGCATTCTTTGCAAACCTGTTAACACCCTCTTATTGTGTTCCTGTGACTGTCCTATGTAGTTTCACTGAAAATAGTGGCATGCGGCATACAGACCAGTGCATAATGTAAAATCCTGTGCATGTAGTTACATAGTAAATATGTTTATGAACCCATTTAGATACTGTCTTCAGAATAATCATGAATTAAATTCGCAGCTCATTATAAATGTGGCTCTAAGTCTATCATATTAATTTCCACTAGTTAAACCAATGCATAATTGAACAATAAGATTTTAATCATGGGGTAGAACTGCCAATACTATATCCACTCTACTAAACAGGGTATGTCATACCTTGTGTAGGCTACCTCACAGAGAAAAGTCCCATATGTTTGCATTTCCCACCAGCGAATGAATGTCAGAAGTATTTCGGAAACAGAATTTGGGACAAATGCCATCTTGTGGGATGTGGCGCCGTGCAGATCTTATGTAAACCGACGTCTAGGAGGAAAGTATCGCCTCCATCTTCAGGGCAAGAAAAATCTGTGAGTGAGGAACCACTGTGAGCAGGTGGCTGCAGACTGAGTCACAAGTCAAAAACACCCAGCTATATAAGAACAGGGAGGCAGGGAGAGTGGGCCATATGGGAAATCAACAGAGGAAAGAGGAAGGGTCTGTGGAGATGGGCCAGCAGGGATTTTTCTACCTTGAAGATGGAGGCAATACATTCGTCCGAAATGTCGGTTTACACAAGATGTACACAGCACCACATCCGAGAAGATGGCATTCTTCAAAGTCACCACCGTGAAAACCTCAAATCTTACAGAATCTGGGAACTTTATAATGAAGATATAATGGTCTGTGTCGCTGACTGATGATTCCAATAGTAGATTGAGTGTACTAACCTGTTTAAGTTCTTTAATTATGAGAACTTAATGTTTTATGCTTACCATTCTTGGGTACCACTTTGAGAAGCATGAAAATATAATACTTTCAGTCACTGTCTATTTAATTTTCAGGCATATTTAAAGCTAAATAAGAACTTTCAGAAGAGTACTCTTTTCTGGGATATGACGCCACACACTCTGGCAAAAGTTTACCTGTGTTTTGGAGGAATACAAAGTAAGTGGCAAAGAGAGGCCTGATTTGCTGCTTGATTCTTGCAGGTTGTTTGTTTGGGTTACTCTCTGACTCTGTGAAGATGGAGTCACATCCCAGAAGATAGTTCTCTTCATAGTCACTGCTACAAGAACCTCAAATTCCGTCACTTCCAGAATTAGCATATGTTTATGAAGATTACTGTCTGTTTGAAGGCAGTGGGACAGAGACTGGTACATGTCTACCACAGTACATAGCCCACAAGAGAGTAATCTTTGTCACTTCCATGAGAATCTGAAATGCTAGCATGTAATTTGGCTTATACACATGTTTATCAGCCAAAATACAAAATTTTCTATCACCTCACTTTTTAAATGTCTTTGTCTAGATAATTTGTCTTAATTTTGACTCACTGGTTATTTGTTAAAACTGCAAACATTTATTCAGGCCTTAGCAATTTTCTTTGAGTTCAAAGCAAGAGTTTTACTTACACTGGGCCCCTCAACTGGGATTGGTTTAGTGTTAATTAGATTGGAAGCTTCAAATGGAGGTTTTACAGAGTGCGGTGTTGTTGTTGGTGGAGGCTGTGTTGTGATTGGCAAAAGCCCACCCAACTGAAAACAAAAATCTCTATTAATACAGTTCTATTTACCAAAAACAAAGATCAGTATTGTGTCTTTCTTTTTATCACGTGCATATTTCTCATTTTGTATAATACTGAGAGACAGCAGAAGTCTGTTCAGGATCAGAATTGGAGAGAATGTAGTGAGATCATCATCATTCTGTTCACTAGCAACATATATATAGTGAAACCATTTTCTAAGCACAGTATGAAGCTGAAGAACTACATTTAAAATGAACTGCACAACTTGAAAGATACTGAAATCAAGGAGGTTATGAAAGGCTTCTCATATAACTCAGATGGGGGAGACATGAACTCATTCATTCAAGGAGCTGAGCCCTTCTTGACAAACTGCCACCTGTACAGCTACTTGAGAACCTCCCAGCATTTTATGGAACCCGAAGGTTCATTAATGTGTTTACAAGAGCCCTCCACCGGTCACTATCCTAAGCCAAATCAATCCAATTCATACCATCCCATCCTATCTCTGAGATCCATTTTAATATTGTCCACCTGCCTATATCTTGGTCTTCCCAGTGGGCTTTTTCCTTCTGGCTTTCCCACCAGTATCCTGTATGCATTCCTTTTCTCCCCCATTTGTGCTACATGTGCTGCCCGTGTCATCCTCCTTGATTTCATCATTCTAATTATGGAGAAGAGCTAGGATATGAACTGCACATAAAATTTTGATGGGGACATGTTTAGGAAAGTGGCCATACAATCATTGGGAGAGTGCAATGAGGATGGAGATGCCTGGAGCCTACTCAGGAACATGGCCGATGGCCAGGCTTTGGGTCTATTTCACCAAAGGGTTGGTTAGATTGTGTGTGAGTGAGATCAGCAGAAACTGAACAATATCTTTCTTCTTCTGTATGATGTCAAGTTTTAGGCAACTGGTACCTGTTTCAAGTCTGACTACTGATCTGACTACCTTCCTCCAGGTCTTCAAATGTTTCTTCTTCTGTATGATGTCAAGTTTTAGGCCACTGGTACCTGTTTCCAGTCAAACTACTGATCTGACTACCTTCTGCCAGGTCTTCAAATGTTTCTTCTTCTCCGAGATCTGTATTGCATTACTATGTATTTTTCATAGTACAAATAAAGGGACAGGGAGACACAAAACAGCACAGCTTACCGCAATATACTGCCAACCATTGTTGACTCTGACCAGAAGTGCTTCTTCATCAATTATATAAGCTATAGTCCCAACTGGACTTACTGATGACATCTGTAAAAAGAAAAGAGCCAATTAATATGTAGATGTTGAAATTCCTTCAGCACTTCCATTCTCTTTATACACAGTGAGCACAAATTATTTTTACTGCTTCATTTGTTTCACAGATTTGCTTTCCTTAAACCACAGAACACATTTTGCTTTCTGTACGTATGTCACCATTTTCTTGACTGCACTGCCCCTGGTGGGAAGTAACTGTAATGGTATAGACATATTCTGGCTTGAAACACGGACACTTGTAGCTTAATATCTTAATGGATGCTGTAGCTTCCCTCACTCCTTCACAGTAAGTTTCTAACATGGTAAAATAATTTGATAGGCTACATCTTTCCAGTAGACTGCCTATATGACAGTGACATGTAAATTAGAATCTGTGCATATCTAGGGGGCATATGGTAGCGTAGTTGGTTGAGGCACTGTGCTACAAGCCGGAAGGTCGCAGGTTTGATTCCCGATGAGGTCATTGGATTTTTCAATTGATATAATTCTTCCAACCGCAGTATGGCCCTGAGGTCAGCTCAGCCCCTAACAGAAATTAGTGCCAGGGATCTTCCTGGGGGTAATGGATGACTAGTGTGTAAGGCTGACAACCTCACCGCCACCTGTGAGTCAGTTGTCTAGAAAACATGGGAGCCTTGATGTCTCACAGACCTATGGGCTTCTTACAGGCATAGCTTTACCTTTTAAGTAAATCTGGTTCATTTCCTTATGTTGATTATATGTTGCTAAGGCCCCATCATGTTTCAGTCATACAAGTCCATCTTCAGGAGGTGTACAACATTAAAGGGAAGTTTACGATTCATATATATCTGCGTGCGTGCGTGCATGCATGCATGCATGGTTTAAAATACCTGAATCATAAATTTCTTATAATCATTTAATTTGTAACATAATACTAGTAAATGTAATGTAATGTAAATTAATTTATAAGACTTAACCCCTTAAATGCCAAGCCCTGCCATAGAACTACCTGCTAGAAATTCCAAGGCTGACAGTGGAAGTACAGTTTCATGGAAATTCTCACAGGACTTCCTCAGATGACCTTCAAATGATCTGAGGTATAGATATCATGAAAGCCTGTTATTTCCTTTAAAGATCAGTGTATCCAACTTGATATCATTTACTGACAGACCTGTCATAATTAACACTTAGCTGCTGTCTTAAGCTGTGGCCGTTTTAATGCAAATATGCCAAGCCAATATAATCAGTTCATGATGTGCGAAGTGTCTGTTTCATGAGATTTGAGGGTTTAGACTGTGGTCTTTGGTTTGACATTGTCCTGTTGGAGGATATCACCAATTCAAATGAACTTGTTGCTGCCATCTTCAGAGATTATTCCATGGTATCACAGTCCAAAAGATGACACTGTGAATAATTAATCCCAACACAAAGTTTTATATACAATAACATAAATTCTGATTTTATTATACAGATCTACTTTTTATGTGGATTACTTTTACAGTTCTGTCATTAGCTAGACTATACAATGACAGATGAACAGAATAGGATTAGGATGAAAGCAGTCATGGCTTAATCAAGGTCATATTCCAGCAATAGCTTAGACGAACTGAGGTAAGACATGTATAGCTAGTCCCTCACTTAGATCTGAACCACAATCTCCCAAACATGAGCTTAGAGCATTGCCACTGTGGTAAGATACACAGTACTCAAAATGTATTTCATTAAAAAAATAATTTGTTGGCTTTTGCAGCATTTGACCTATTGTATTCCAAGAAAGGGTCTTATGATCCACTTACTCTGGTCATGGCTTCTGTATTCTGAAATGTGACAGCACCAGGAACTATTTTAGTTGGTCCACTCTCCGTGGAATGATGAGGTCCGCCAGAGGACGGCCGATTCATGCCAGATGAACCTAAAACATTTTTAACTATCATGTAACACTGTCCTCAAAATAACTAAGATCCCTACACTAAATAGAATTTGGAAATGTTAATGAGAAAAGCAGGTATGATACTTTGACCTTTAAGTGAAATATTTAAAATGTTTCTACTTAACTAACTATCTGAAGGATTACCTGAACTAGCAACATTGCTAATATGAAAGCACGCTACTCAGCATGATTATTAATATTCTGAAGGCCGCACCATAGCTCAAGCGGTTAGTCACTGGCTTCCCACCGCGGTGGCCCGGGTTCGATCCCGAGTCTGGTCAAGTGGGATTTGTGGTGGACAGAGTGGCACTGGGGCAAGTTTTCTCCGAGTACTTCGGTTTCAGTCTTTATATGCAAATTACTGGTATATACCACATGATGAGAGTCAATATGACTGAAACTTTTTGTGGGATGTCATTATATGAAGAGACAATCACTTGTTGAACTGTTCTATAATATTTGTTATATATGTACAGTATACACAGACGAACTTGAGTTTGAAGAATTGAAGAAAATAATAACAGTAGTGGGCTCTGTAACACCTTGAACGTTGTATTGAAATGCAACACTGAACTAGAACTCATGATCTTGAAACAAACACCTGCTGATATATTCATAAAATACTTGCTGTATATATTGGTTATTAAACTAATTTTAGCAATTAGAAACTCTTGAAATTGTGTAAACAAAAATAAAATGTCGGTCACTTAAATGCTACGGATTCAAATGGATTTTATATAGTGGGGGTGTCTAAAATTAAGGAGACGACATATTTGCCCACTTTGCTCGGTGTATACAGTGGCCCTGCATAAGTTACCCTTTAAATCCTTGAGTTGTGTCAGTTCTTTCAGAGCCCTAAGCTCTTCCAAGCTTCCACGTACACTTCCTTTAGCAGCATTAAAAGCAAACATATTAAGATATTACAAAAAGCACTCTCTTATATTACTAATATACCCTGAGGTGTGGTCTCAGTAATAACAGTGCAGTTCCTTGTTGAAACAAATGGATGTACATCATGCTCGGAATCAGTTTCCGTTACCAAACGAGAGCCTCAAACTTTTAAATGCAGAGGGCATATGGCCATAGCTCAAGCAGTTAGTTGCTGGCTTCCTGCTGCGGCGGCCCGGGTTTCGTCAAGTGGGATTTGTGGTGGACAAATTGGCGCTGGGGCAGGCTTTCTCCGAGTACTTCGGTTTCCTCTGCCAATCTTCATTCCACCAATTGCTCCACAATCACCCTCACCTATCATGTGGAGCTGCCAATCTCATCTTACTTAATTTAGTCATTCCAACAATGTAGACTGAGGAGTGCAAATAGTGAAGCTCCTTATTATGCAGTTTTCTCCAGCCTCCTGTTACTTCCTTGTGGGTCTAAGTATTCTCCTCAGCATCTTGTTTTCATATAAACTGAGTCTATGTGTTCCCTTAATGTAAAAGACCAAGTTTCACACCCATGGAAAACTACAGGCAGAATTGTAGTTCTGTATATTTTTTATTTTTACATTTCAGTATAGCAGGTAAAATCCTTTGAAGTGAGATTCCTGAGGTCAGTGGCAGGCTATATAATAATGGACAACACAGAGAAACATAGACATTAGACAAGAACTAAATACATTGAAACTATGAGAAGTAAAAGAACACAAACTGAAATATTTTGAACAAGTTTTAAGAATGGCAACTAATCAGACTTCTCAGAAGCTATCTTCCTGAAGGAAGAAGGGAGAGGTTCACATAACCTGAAGACTGAAACAGGTGGAAAAGTCCTGAACATTGCAGTTGCTCACGATTTCAGAGATTTCAGACAAGATGAAAGATTCTGAACTGAAACAGAACTATATTTAATTTTTTCTGATATATGTGTTGATCTAGAAATTATCTCCAAGCAGGATAGCTGAGTCAGTATAGCTTTAGGCTGAATGGCTGGGGTTCAAACCCCAGCAGGAGTAGATTTTTCTCTTCTCCACGTCGTCCAGACCAGCACTGAGGCACATCCAACCTTCTATCCAATGAGTACCAGGGGCTCTTTCCCTGGGGGTAAAGCAACAGGGGTGTGAAGCTGACCACTCACTTTCATTTAGTGCGCAGGTCAAGAATGGTGGAGCTATACTTCCACTCCCCCATATGTCTTCATGGCATAGGCACAGGGACAACTTTTAACTCTGCATTTCTAAGTAGTAGGTAATTTTTATGAATACATCAATCTGATTCACTGATTTTGTTTTTTCTTATACCATAAAGTAGTGGATCTGCATATGTCAGTAATATTGGCAGACCCTGAGGTTCAGTAACCTCTCTGAGTAGTGAGTGGGCAGAATGAAATGCTTAATAATTCCTTTTTGCGAAATTAAGAAAGTAACGTTAGTGGACGGCCATACATGATACCCTCACCTGCTCTGTTAAAACCTGAAGGAGGTGCAGTCATTGAAGGATCACCAAAAATAATGCCTCTACTCATTCCTGACCCAGGAGCACCTGGTTCACCCTTCTGACCCATCAGAGACACACCTGGTGGACCGGGGGCACCCTGCAATGAGATGATACAAGAGCTACAATCCTAAGGAAAAACACTGACTTGATAAAGATTCACATGAAAAATGGATTCATTAATGCATCATATTTTCATGCATGTTGTTGCATGATAGTGACTGTACATGGGGTTTGGATTGGTAATTGGACTTACTAGACGTTGAATTGCCTTACTTACAAATCATTACACAGTGTACAAACAAATATGCACTACTGTTTAGTAATCCATTATATCCATCTTGGTTGGCCCTGTCACCACAGACGCAATGCTAGGGGCTAGGTTCCATCTAAAAGATACATGAACAGTGATAATCCAAGGTTTTTCCTTGGAAATGTGGAAAAGCACACACAGCATCACATTTATTTAATTATCTTTACAACTGTAAGAATTACAGAAAAATTGTAAGTACATAAAATGTGAGGTTCATTTTTATTTACAACTTTTGTATGAAACATTCTTCCTTTCAGAAATTTTTTTTAACAAGTTACACTTAAGAGCCAGGATAACATAGCCGGTATAGTGACTGGTTATGGGCTGGATGACTGAGGGGTCAAAGTTCGAGTCCTGGTAGGGTCAAGAATTTTCACTTCTCTAATTGTCCAGACTGGCATACCGGGGGCTTTTCCCAGGGGGTTAAGCAGCCGGGACGTGAAGCTGACCACTCACCTCCAACTAGTGCCGAGGTCAAGAAAATGTGGATCTATACATCCACTCCCCCAAACGCCTTCATAGTGTAGTGCTTAATTAGTTAAGCACAGGGACACCTCTACCTTTACCTTACACTTAAGATACAGGAATGCATGTAAGTCTTCATGTAAAATGGTTGCTAAAATTATTTGATCTAAATGGAAAGTGAAATATCGTGACAATTTTTAATAAAATTCTTCAACATTTGATTTCATGAAGATCAGTCCCCTGATTCTCTTGTTTTTGCATGCATACGGTAAGATGGGCATACTAAAATTAATAGGTACTATAGAGGGAAGCAACTATACCTGAAGTGGCTCACAGACAATCGGGAGTACACTACATACTATTGCCATATAAGCAGAGGCGTAGTTCTCCCAGGTTTCACTGCAGCAAGTAGACAATGAAATTTGCTCTTTTGTGCACCCAGTGATTCAGCTTCCACTGCCGTACTTTTATTTTAATATTAGTAAAATCTGTAGAACAGACATCTCCTTCACAAAATCATGTATGTCCTAATAATAAAAGAATCAAACTTTGGAAGCTCCTGAGCGAGAAATTACGAACATAAAAAATATAGAAAGAAATGACCAGTTTATATAAAATGCGCACATGGTTTCGACAGGAATGTTTCTTTACCCACAAATGCTTTTTTGTGATCTAGACACAGAAATGTTGAATGAAATATACAGTAGGTTTAGGGCTTGAAAAATTATGCCAAGTCATGCCCATCAAATTAAAAATTCATTCACCAATGCATATTCTCTGAACAAAGAATATGTTGAAGAGCTCCTTTTTCTGGGATATAATGTTGTGTAGTCCACTGAACGTCACCTGATGTTCAGGAGAAGCATATCACGTCCACCTCAAGTGTCAAAGTCTGTGCTTGTTCCCTGCTTCATGGTGATGTCTTGCTTGGCATTTTCTTTGACCATGAAGATGGAGGCAATACGCTTCTCTGAAATGCCAGTTGATTTTCAACAGACTACACAGTGTTATATCTGAGAAGACAGAACTCTTCATGACCACTGCCATGAACCTCAGACCCTACAAAAGCAATTCACCTCAATCATTTGGGTGGCCATGAGTCTACTAATGTAATATAGATGATCTGTGCGGAGGAAGAGTTCAAGTTGTTTTGAGGAATAAGCACAGAAAAGACATACTCTGATCATAACCACTTACTGGATTGCCTGGAGGTCCCGGAGGTCCAGGAACTGGAATGTACTTAATGCCGTCAAGTTCACCATGCGTAGCTGGACCCGGGGGGCCGGGAGGACCTGGTGGTCCAATGATCCCAACTCCAGGATCACCTCTATCACCTTTATCTCCTTTTTCTACTTTAGCCTGAAATATAATAAACTGTGTTGAACAGGACACATCAGCTGTTGGCCTATGCCGATGATGTGAATCTACTAGGTGATAATGTAGATACCATAAAGAAAAACACACATACTTTAATTGAAGCAAGTAAGGAGGTTGGTCTATGAGTAAACACAGAGAAAACTAACTATATGTTGCTGTCTCGTCACCAAAATGCAGGGCAAAATCATGGCATAAAGACAGGAAACAGGTGTTTTGAAAATGTGACACAGTTCAGATATTTGGGAATGACGATAACAAATCAAAACCTGATTGAGGAGGAAATTAAGAGGTGACTGAACTCGGGTAATGCTTGCTGCCATTCAGTCCAGAACTTTTTGTCTTCTTAACCACTGTCCAAAAACATAAAAATTAGAACATAGAAAACTATAATTTTGCCTGTGGTTCTGTATGGGTGTGATACTTGGTCTCTGACATTAAGGGAGGAACATAGACTGAGGGTGTTGAGGAGAATATTTGGACTGAAGAGAGATGAAGTGACAGGAGGTTGGAGAAAACTGCATAATGAGGAGCTTCATAACTTGTACTCTTCTCCAAGTATAATTAGAATGATCAAGTCAAGGAGGATGAGGTAGACAGGGCATGTAGCATGAATGGGCAGAAGAGGAATGCATATAGGATAGTGGTGGGAAAGCCAGAAGGAAAGAGACCACTGGGAAGACCAAGGCATAGGTGGGTGGACAATATTAAAATTGATCATAGAAAGATAGGATGGGATGGGATTGTATGAACTGGATTGGTCTGGCTCAGGATAGGGACCAGTGTAAGGCTCTTGTGGACACGATAATGAACCTTTGGGTTCCATAAAATGTTGGGAAATTCGTGAGAAGCTGCAGATTTGGCAGCTCCTCAAGAAGGGCGCAGATCCATAAGTAAGTAAGTAAGCACCTAAAACATCTTTGAGGGTATGTCATCTTCCGACAGTGATGTACATTGTCATGTCATAATTCTATTTTCAACAAACAGTGGGAAGCAAAACCGCCATACTGGAAGTCTCACTGACTACACAGGGGTTTTCTTCCATAAGATTGCCTACTCAAGGTATGACATCCCCTCAGAGATGTTTCAGAAAGACAATAATGTAACATATGCAACAAATTTCCTTACAGTTAAGTGTGCTTCAGTTATCTTCACGACTTTTAGTCCATTTCTATTTATGTAACACTTGGAAAGCAATTGTAAGTCCCACTTAACTGATTACTGGACACAGAGTGGCAGTATGGGGGTAGCATTGTTAAATACAGACTCTGTGTACCAGCATTTCCTTCGGCTGTGATGCAACAACTCTGACAGCATTCCAAAAGGATCTTAAATTATCAACCAAAAGGCAAAAGAAGTCTGGAAGGACTGAAATGGTGGGAGCATTCAGCTCTGTAATATCTGTAACAGGTCTCAGTAGGCCTAGTACTGGAAAGGATGATAAACATGATGACAATGATGGTGACAGTTTGTTCACAACCCTGGTTCCAACCTTTGCTTTGGTGGCCCGGATTTGAGTCCAGGTCATGTCATGTGGGATCTGTGGTGGACAAAGTGGCACTGAGGCAGGTTTCCCATGCCAATTCTCATTCCACTGACTGCTCCACACTAATAATCTATCATCCGGGGCTGGTAGAATAAGCCAATTAGTGGCTGACATACTAAGTGAACTCAGTGTCACCCCACCCCAAGAAACTTTAAAAAAAAAAAAACTTGCTTGCTTACATTCTTCTGACTTGCCTCACTTCCTTAACCCTGCAGTTGGAGGCAACAGTTTTGTCGGAAATGCTGGTATGTAGTCACCAAACTACTCAGCATCACATGCAAGAATATGGCAATCATAGAAAATGAGATAATCAATTGGCTGAAGCACTTCTTGTGCCAAAGGAACTTACTGATGAGCACTGTTACAAGAAACACACATAAACAACTCTGCAACCAGCAGTACACATGATATACCTTACCTTTAAGCTGAATGGTAGCTCTCCCGGATCGCCTTTCTCCCCCTTGAGTCCAGGAAGACCAGGAACTCCAGGTCGACCAGGAGAGCCCTGAAACATGTGACAGAATGGCATAAGGCAATACTTGCATGTTTATGACAGACTGAGACAAGAAAACAAGGGGAAAGGAAATGGAAATTACACATGACAAAGTCAAGAAACAGAAATAATGGAAAAAAGAGAAGAAACACACAAGGATAGAGCTGAGAATTCCGTAGTTCATTAAAAAAGCATCTATGGACAAGATATGTGATATGGGGGGGGGGGNTTAAGCCTCTGTTTTTATGAATCTTTAGAGAGAGAGAATAATTTTTCAAAATAATTAAAATATTTTCTTTGGTAACAATATCTGGTATACTTCCACATTTCTTTCAATTCTGATTTCTTACCAAAACATGGGGGGAAGAGCCAGATGCCTGGCTTGTTTGAAACCCTCTGTGGCACTACTAGTGAATACGGCTGGTTTCAGGTGACCACATGGTTGTGTGGATGACACAATTTTCCATGGACTCAGTGAAGTAGTATTCATGAAGTAAGAACATTGAATCAAACAACTTGCTTCAATTGGTAATATTTTAATGGTCTCCAGTCCAAACAGTCCCCAGATGGGTTTCATATAAAGAACCCCCATGTTAATACAAATGCTGAGCAATATATGACAGTTAATCTTATTTGAAATGTAGTATTTAATAAAACTGGAACATACATACCTTTAAATTCTTGGATTGCAAAAAGGAAAATAAAATTTAATTTCAGAATCATTGCAGATCTACATTACTGCAATCAATGGCATATGTCTCACTGACAAGTATATATTATTGCACTAAGAAATTTAAAACAAATGCTTCTATGTTTAATGTTTAATTACACCACAACAATTTAATAATTTAGTATTTTAATGTTTTATAGTTACGCTTGCATTAATATTGACAAATAACATGTATGGCCTCCCCCAATTTTAAACATTGGCTAGTGTAGGGGAAAACAGCAGCAAAAGTAGAGAGTGGGCGTACCTGATGGTGACCATAAAGAGCCAAAACATGTCAAATAATATACAACGTTTATAAATGAATTGTGGTGACGGAACCAATAAGAAGTTTTTGCACACAGTATGCCGGAAGCAGCGTCATCAGCAGCGACTTGAAGCACAGAGCAAATGATGCTCGAGATGGTTCAAGTTCGTATAGCAACAGGCGTGACCAGAGTGGTTTGAACGGCTGCTGTACTGCGATGTGGAAAGCAAATGGAAAAACTACCACATTATCACTTTTCCTGGATGGTCTCTTTCCAAAAACAGAAGATCGCATTAAGTGGAGGAACTGTTTTGGAAGAGACTGTGGACCTGTCGTCTGACAGATTACTGATGGATGGATGGATGATGCTGAAATACAATATTCTCGAAAATAAATGCCTTTTCTGGTATATCCATATACAATGCAATTGTACTGATGCTGTTTGAGATTATAGAGCACTGCATGCGCTGATTGCAGATAGTGCTAATTATACTGGTAGTGGCTGTCGGTTTCAATCTTGCATTTAAGCATCCTGTTGCATTACTGTATTCAACCTTATTTACATACAATTTTCTGGCAATAATGCAACTATTTATTTCTTCATTCACATTTGCTTTTGCTGTTAACACATGTTTCGGCCCCAAATGGCCATCCTCGGGTGTCCCAGTATGCTAAACCTGCTACATTGCACTGGGTATTGTCCATTCCACACGCGCATGACTGAACATTTCATAATTAAAATGTTACAATTGCACTCAACTGTTGTGCGTTAATCTCACATGTTACAGTTCAATCCACTGAAAATCAACTAAATATCGTTAACATTTTTAATTATATAAAAAACTCCTAATTCCACCTCATAAGGGGGTGTCGTCCGCGTGTCTAAGCAATGTACCCTTCTTCAGTTGTTGTGAGTGGTTTCACCTGTGACTTTCTAGGTTAGATTCCAGTGACTAACACAAGATTCTATGTCACAGTGCTTACTCCTTTAACATTAAAAAAGATCATTTTTTCCCACAGTATGTTTATAGTTTTTGAGTGATTTTCATCACAAACAGCACTAAACCAGGATGTGATGCCATGTAACCTGGTACACCACATTACATGACATCACATACCAGATCATACTACTCTTCATAGTGAGCACACTGAGAACCCGAAACGCAACAGGATTAAAACTGCATGTTTACCGTGAGATAGGAACTATACATATTTATGTAAGATTTGAGATTTGAGGTTTTCACGGCGGTGACTATGAAGAAAGCAGTCTTCTGGGATGTGGCACCGTGTAGATATGGTGTTAACCGACGTTTCAGTTGTACCGGTTCTCACAGTCTCTTCGCTTGCGGATTTCTTATTTTCCTTCTACCCAGAAGATGGAGGCGATACGTTTCTCCAAAATGTTGGTTAATACCACATCTACACGGTGCCACATACCAGAAGACTGCTTTCTTCATTGTAAATATTTAGATGAATTTCAGGCTTCTAAGATTAAGGGCTTACAAACAGCTGTGTGTAACAGAGGACTTTGGCTTACAGATACATTGTGAACTTACCATCCATCCTGGCATCCCCATTTCTCCTATTGTCCCTGGTTTTCCAGGAGGACCTTGGGGGCCTGGGGGTCCTGGTTTACCCCTTCGACCTCTCTTCCCGTGATCTCCCTTTTCTCCTTTGATTGTGACATATTCTCCCTCCATATCAGGAATGCTTGTAAGTCCAGGTGGTCCCCTTTCTCCTCTTTCACCCTTCATGCCATGGGAGCCTGGTGGACCTACAGCTCCCACCTCTCCTGGTTCACCCTTCTCACCTGCTGATCCCTGTAACAGAGAGATGCTTCCAGTATAACAAATTGTATAGCATCATCACAGGATATGAATTAGATAGGCTGCAGTCATGGCATAATTCAAGGTACTCTCCTGGCATTAGCCTGTAGAGAGTGAAGAAAACCACAGAAGCCTCACTCAGGATGGTTGGTGAATGGCTGACCTCCAGAATACAAGTCAGCAGTGTTATCACTTGAGTCAGCTTCATTGTTATCTTTGGAATAAGGTGTGATATAGTATGACACTAGCTTTATCTCTTATTTTGCATTGGTGTAAAACTTTCGTTTCTCAGATTGAAGGTATCTGAAAACTAGCTGCTAAGGACATATTTGAGCTATGATAAATGTAGCTCTTGTATTTGCACTTTTGCAGCTGAATTTAGTTTGACTTGTAGAAATATGCTGCATAAATTGTCAAGATGGAAAACCTTCAACAAATATTTCAGTTCCCTTGTCAGAGTTAGTGTATTTTTGGGTTCCAGAAGCTTGCCACCCACTTTGAGATCTATAAGATCTGGAAATGGGCAACAAGCAAGAAATGAAACCCAAGAGGGGGTAACCATGTAGACGAGAAAGTGGTAACTGAAAGTCTGTTGAAATCTGATGGTCATGAAGACATAAGATGAAAAATGTTTCTGACAGCTGAAAGATTTCCATAATCTCTCTCAGCTTTAATAAGAAATCCTTCAGTGACCAACAGATACATTTTGATACACACCTGCATGCCATTGGCTCCTGGAATGCCTGGCAACCCACTACCACCCCTGTCTCCTTTCTCCCCTTTGGGTCCTATGTCACCTTTCTCACCTGCTGAGCCCATATCACCTTTCTCCCCTTTCAGACCTGATGCTGTTCCTGAAAGAAAGAGTTACAGTTTCTTCACAATTCAGTCAGACATGAAGTGTATATCAATGCCCTGTAAGCTTAGTTTTTCTTAAGAGATTATACATTCTGAAGGAAGTAACTTTGTGGTAAATGTACATAAAACTGGATGATTTAGTAAGATTTAGTGAGGTCTGAGGTTCTTACAGAAGTGATTATAAAGATAACTGCCTTCTGGGACATGTTACTGTGTAATGTGGTATATCATTAGCGATGTTCTGGGGGGCTACAAATCAAAGATTAAAATATCAGACTCACCTGCTATATCTAACCCTGAGCCTGAGAAGTCTCCTTCATCTGGATGGTATAAAGACACTACTGGGGGCCCAGGAGGTCCAGGGGACCCTGGTCTCCCTGGCTCACCTGCTTCACCTAGAACATATTGAATAAGAGCATTAACACCTTCATAGTAAGGAAATTTCTTGCCTATAAACTTTGCTCTTTTACGTAAATGGAACATTTCAATAACTGCTGCAGAAGTAAGGGAGTCAGGTAGACCGCGCCATAGCTCAAGCGGTTAGTCACTGGCTTCCCATCGCGGCGGCCCGGGTTCGATCCCGGGTCTGGTCAAGTGGGATTTGTGGTGGACAAAGTGGCAGGTTTTCTCCAAGTACTTCGGTTCCCCCTGCCAATCTTCATTCCACCAATTGCTCCACAATCACCCTCACCTATCATCTGGGGCTGGTACAATAGGCCAGAAATGGCCGCAGTACAAGGACTTAGTCCCACCCCAGTAGCAATAAAAAAAAAAGGTAGTCAGGTCATGGTTTGTCACAGTGCTTGAGAGATATAAGAATAAGAGGTCTCTTTAAATAATCAAAATATCACACTGGCCCATTTTCTTTGGTTCTGAACTTCATATGTGTAAGTGGTAAATGTAAAAAAAGAAAATGTAAAGCTATCGCTGTAACAGGCTGTAGAGGCCCATAGCACTGTGAGACATCCAGGCTCCCACATCATCTGGACAATCGGTTCACAGATGGCAGTGAGGTTGTCAGCCTTATGTGCCGGCCGCCCTTTACCCTCCAGGAATATTCCTGGTACTCATTTCTGTTAGAGGCTGAGTCGACCCCAGGGCCATAGTGCGGCTGGAAGGATTAGGTCAGTTGAACAAATCCACCTCATTGGGATTCGATCGCGCGACCTTTCGGCTTGTAGCATAGTGCCTCAACCAACTACACTACCGCATGCCCCCAGTAGATGAAAAAGAATATGGGAAGAAGCAGATACAGGATGATGGAGGGGGAAGAGGAGGAAAAGAAACAGTTTATGCTAATAACAACTCTCACAAAAGAAATTTAGCCACTGTATGCAATTTCAGGAATAGTTTTATAAATGAAGATTCACTGTTTTTCTGACAATAACATGATGGTATTTTAATTAATGTTAAAATGTTACTTACCTTTCTGTCCCTTGCTTCCATCTCGTCCATTTTCCCCTGGGAAGCCTGGTAACCCATCAATTCCTGGTGAACCTGGCTCTCCCTTGAAACCTTGTGCTCCCTGAGGCCCTTGGTGTCCCTGCCAAAAACAAACACACTTATTAGTTATGTTCACTAATAAGGGATTGAGATAAATGAAATGTATGCCTCTGTGGTCCAGTGGTCAGTGTTCCTGGCTACAGATCCAGAGGTCCCAGGTTCCATTCCCGGCGCTACCAGATTTTCTGAGAAGTAGTACGTCTGGAACGGGGTCCACTCAGCCCTGTGAGGATAACTGAGGAGCTACTTGAATGGAAAAGTAGCGGCTCCAGTCTAGAAAACTGAAATTAACGGCCCTGGGGCACTAACTTCACCGACGAGTGGTGGTTGCTCAGTCAGTGTAGTTCACTTCCGGAGTAAAGCCACAGAGATTTTATTTATTTATATTAACTTAAGACCTCCTTACTGAGCACTGTGCAATATGTAAACACATCTTGTTCGAGAAGTTCTCAGGTTCTCGACACATTTTCTCAAACACAGGTACTGAGAGCGCAATGACTAAGTTACAGTATTCTGGTAATACAATACATGAGGCTGAAAATATATGAGATTTATATCCATCTTCAGAAACTATGTCTTCTTCCCTGGTGGCATGCATCTATACAAAATGCATGTGAACTGGAGCCAGTTTACACCAGTTCTGCCAAACCTGTACCCAGATATTCAGAAAAGATAATGAAAGTGCTTTAGAAGTAAGTTTGGCCTGGTCAGTTGCTACAAAGTAAGCAAGCCTGGCTCCTCCTGTCTGGAAAGCAGGCTAATAAAAATTGTCAATTGGCAACTGAATATGTGGACCAGTTGTTAAAATGTTGTCAGAATACCTCACGATATATACAGTATATATATAATGTTTGTATCATGAAAGGTATAATGCAGAATAGGGGAATGAAATCCCCTTATTTTTAACAAGTAACAAGAGTAATCCCATCTAAGATCCATTCTGACATTGTCCACCCACCTATTTCAGCATACTGTTGGGCCAGAAATCACCATACCAGAGATCTCATTGCACTGACAGGGCTTTTCTTCCATAATATCCCTTATTTGAGGTACACACACCCTCAGAAGTGTTTTACACAAATAATACTTTACAGTGCTGTGATGTGCAATATCTTCATTTGTTTGTACCCACCCTGTCACCTTTGGGACCTTTCAGTCCTGGGTCTCCTCGCTCTCCCTTGCTTCCAGGAACGCCCCTCTCTCCTGGTGCTCCAGGCATACCAGCTATTCCAGGTTCACCCTTTGGACCAGGACTACCTGGTCTCCCAAGGGATGACTCGAAGTCAGCTCCCAAAATCGATCCCTGCATTTAATATTAATTTCATAAATACATTCATTGTGAATAATATAGAGCAGCAGAAACTTGTATGTATTCTTGACGTATATATATGTATTTTGAAAGAGTATACTTTTGTCAGAAGAGATGGAAATGAAATGGGCCAAATGAGACAACTGCCTTGTGTCCACTTAAGAGGCCACATTCACTGAATACTGTCAGAGTGAAATGCTACCAATTGTTATAGGAACAAGACGGTAGTCATTGAAGTTTCTGTCACAGTTTTGTTTCTTTGTTCTACAGAGAAGCTGATAGTAGGTGTAAGTTCCACATCTTACTCCAGGTGCAAAATTGGTTAGTTCTGCCTCTCTGAAAGCATTATTTGTAGCAGGCGTGTCCAACTTCAAACAGATTGTGATCGACATTTTAGTGTCAAAACTGCCAGTGATCTACCCCTCCTATTGCCGTACCTCGCTTTAAGAAGAAATATTTTTAAAAATAGCACAACACATGATGCTTGTTGTAAAAGCAACATACATTGAAAGTACAGACTACTTTAACACGTATTTTCCCTTCAAAATCTGAATATAATCATATTATATTACAAGTGAATTTACATGCTTTTCACGTATAATTTCCTTATAGGTCTATGAGACTGACCAAAAATCATCCCGCAATCGACGCATTTGACATACCTGATTTATAGGATCTATTAGTATGGATCCGTATACAGAAGGTTGCAGTATTACAGACTGAACATCTGGTGTTGATCTTTTTAGAAAGAGCCTCATTATGAGGGCTTGAAGTATGATTCTTGGAAACTGTACTACAGCAATGAAAATTATCGAAATGCCAAATAATGTAACTCAATAGGAGCCACACACCCTCATTTTCAAACATTGAAAATTGCAAAAATTATTAGAATCTTTCTTCCTTGCCTTGTCTGTGGGCTTTCTTTATCAACTTACATCAAATTCATTAATTGATTAAGCACCACACATTAAAATCTATGGGGAGTGGAGGTATAGCTCCACTATTCTTGTCCTCGGTACTGGATGGAGTGCTCGGCTTCACACCCTGGTCACGTTACCCCTGGTACCAATTGGATAAGAGGCTGGGTGGGCCCCAGACCTGGTCTGAACACTGTGCAGGAGAGAAAAACCTTTGTCCCTGCCAGGAATCGAACCTGGACTGTTCAAACCATAGCCTGTCACTATACCGACTGACCTGCCTTGGTTCCTTATGCAGGTTTAAGAAATATAAACGTACCACCTGTTTTAGTACAAGAATCTGTTTTGGCAACTGTATTTATATGTGTCATATGATTCACACTACAAACATCAGCCACTTCCTTGAACAGCATTAACTAATCAGTCTTTATAATTCAGATGCATTGTGTTTTTTGTAAAATAGGAACTGAAATGAATCAAAATAATAAAAAATTTAGTTCCTACCTCACAGAAAACACAATGCATCTTCATTAAAAGCACCAACTGGTCAGTGGTGTTGACAGAAATAATTGCTGTTTACTGTGAGAATCTTATTATACTCACAAATACACTGTGTGGGAGGAATAAAGAATTTCCAAATTGTAGAACTGAGTTACCCTGCTCCATTTTTACAGAAAACAGCGGTAAAATTGAAATGAGTTAAATTCGGTCTGATTCACACTCATGAAATACATATTTTATCGATTTCATTATGAACTAAAGGTGCACACATACATATACACACACACACACATAACATGTAGTACTCTTATTATCCAGCTACGTGTACCACAAGTGCAGTGCAAATTACGTGTAATTTTATCATGACAGCAGTGGAACTATAGCAGTGCGAATGTTGAAAAATGCCAAACACAACTTCCAATGCCCTAATTCTCTAGAAAACTGTTTTAAAGGCAAACGTGCCACTGTTTTGGAGTTTATTTACTTCATTGTTCCAAAGTCGCAGTATCCTTTTAACATATACACATAAAGTGCTGGGTTACATATTAAAATTGATCCATGCCTGACCAAAATTTAGGCAAAATTAATCACATTTTATGCGTAAGATGGGGCGATTGAAATGTTTTATTAAATTGATTACTTTATGTTTGTATTTGTAATCGGGTTTTTCGAATTATGTGTCAGAATTTACAAACAAAACAAACTTCGTGGCCTGTAGTCCGCAAGCAAACTGTACCGACCGAGCGACCGCCGTTTATAGGCGAAGTTAGTGCCAACTTTTGCGGATGGAGGGTGTCACATGGTCAGCGCAACGGACACCCACGGCCGTTAATCTAGGTTTTCTAGACCGGAGCCACTACTTTTCCATTCAAGTAGCTCCTCAATTACCCTCACGAGACTGAGTGGACCCCGTTCCAGAACCACTACTTCTCAGAAAATTTGGCATCGTCGGGAATCGATCCCAGGACCTCTGTATTGGTAGGCAGGAACTCTGACCACTAGACCACAGAGGCAGTTTGTGTCAGAATTTAATACTTTTAAAATTATTACATTGCTTGCTTGGTCCAAACTTATGCGATGTTACTTGAAAATGTTTGGGCATGGTCTTGGTTGTGAAGAATTTTTTACTGGACAACGAGGCACAAGCAGATCGGAAGTTTATTGGAAACCGGAAGCCAAACAGACATTGGGAAATGGACCAACAGCACCCAAATTTTTAATGTAGCACCAAATAACTCTGTTTAAACAAACCAATGACTTTGTGAGAACTTTGTGTCAGTGGCTTACTCATCTGTTCTTGAAATTTTAAGTACGCAGCACTCCTGCAAGCATCTTTACCCCATTCGCGTTCTGGATTTTTAGGGCACATTTCATGGCAGCACATTATTAAACATAAATATTTAAAAGAATTTGGTTGAAGATAAACTTAAGTCCTCTTAATATTACATCCTGCTTCTTACATCAGAAATTGCAGCAATATTTTGTCATGCCTAATTTGCAACATTTCATCAAGTGAATTTAATCTGTGCCTTTGTAATAAAGGGCATCCGTGGTGTTTGTTATTGACCTCTTCATTGCTCTTCCCCGTGAAAGCGATCCAACAGGAAAGTATCGTGCATTGACCTGAACCATGATCTATCCATATATTTAAAATTTACAAAATTAAACCCAAATTGCCAATTCTGATAAAGAAGAGACCCCACAGAACATTCCACACTGTCCAAACACAAAGTCCTGGTCCGGCTGTAGTGCTAGGGAATGATGTCAAAGGTGGTTTCCGCAGCATGATCTTTCTGATTGTAAATATTGAACTCTCTATTTTCAGTGAATTCCAAAGTTTCTGCTGTTTGTCCACTGTCATATATTCCAAAAGAACACAATTTTCATTGGGAATTTTCTTATTATCTTCTGTTTGCAAAACCTGATATCAGGTCTAAGTATAGATGTACGGGACTGACTTTGCTTGTCCAGTGATTGAAAATTTGTCCTTTGTATTGGGCAAAACAGAGTAGATGCCTTCCTATCCTTCCCCCAGGAATGGAAGTCCGTGTTCCAGAAGGTTGTGTTCATTCAGAATACTAGATGATGGACAAAACTAAAAAACTCATTAATTCCAACCATCTCTTTATTATTATGCAACATCATTTTTAGAATGTTATTTTCAGCAGTAAAGAACTTATAATTGCTGTCCAATTTGATATAAGATAAATGAAAAAGCTACTTTCATATCCAAAGCATGAAAGATTCCTGAAAAGTAGACAGCATGGCCTGTTGTCACAGAGGCTGATGGCTTCCAAATCTTCCACACTGGCATGTGTATGAATGAAAATGATAAATTGTTTGAGACAGATGAATACTGAGTTCCTTTCCCTCATACTTTCAATGGTGAATACTTCAGACAAACAGGTAATGAAAGCTACACAGTAAAAATTATTAATTCATATAGCTAATTATAAAAGGAAACTATCACAACAGCTCAGATGTTATGTATTACGGAAATGTACATTAAATGTGCTCTGTAAGTAGACCGTAGAAATTTAGGCAAATATTTTTTTCCCCAGAGAGATATGAGGACAATTCAGTAATTGAAATGTGACTAAATTGGTGTAGTTTTGCAGAGTCTAACATTTACTACATTTGTCAATGCATATTTCCACCTTCTTACACATTTAAATACTTACTTCACAGTAAATTATTAAAATTTTTAATGTCAGTGTAATATACATGGCTCAGGAGATTGTAAAATAACAAATACCTTCTTGATAAATTATAAACCTGAAATTCAATTGTGTAATAGCAATCTTGAAAAATTAATAATTGTGCCTATTTTATGTACCTAAAATTAAATTTTCTACTATTTATTATTGTTGTTGTTGTTGTTGTTGTTGTTGTTGTTGTTGTTGTTGTTGTTGTTGTTGTTGTTGGCAGTACTACATCCCTTTGTGGGTCTTAGCCTGCTCTAGAAACTTTCTCCAGCCTTCCCTCTCTTTTGCCTTTGCTCTCCAATTAACCCAAGTTATCCAAATATAATTACTAGCTGAAAATACTGATTTCTAATTACATTTTTCTATACCAATAAGTTATCTGAACATAAATATTCCAGTATTGCACTATTATACAAAGCAATAAATTTATCTTAGTAAATATAGAATTTGGAATCTTTTAATTCCAAATGGATAGTACTCTTTGCTGTCATGTAGGACTTATAAACACATTCAAATGACAGGAACATTATACTATGCACACAGATCACTTGAGGAAGGGTAAGATGAACACTTTAATAATATTAAATTAAACTTCTGGAGATAATAAACAGAGTTTGTGTCCAAAACTTTATAACAGCAAAGGTTATTTAGGAAAATGCATGAACACCACATGAACTACAAACTTTGTAACTCTCTGTGTTGAATTTCTCATATCATATTATCCAGGCATTAAGAACCTCTGCTTTGGTTTCTAGGAGGAGGAAATGATTTTGTTTTTAAATCATTGTCAAACAAGATATTCTCTACAGTACACTCAATTGTCTTCCCTTGCTGGAAGACAGAGCCATCCCCCAAACCAGTCTACATTTTTGTATATCTTTATAACTATTTAATTTTGACAATGGGCAGTATTGAAAAAGGACGCCTACAGTATGATACTAGAACAGGGTGGGCGATTATTTTGGTTGGTGAAACATATCACAAACTTAGGTGAGATTCATGGGCCATATATCCTTACTGACATAAAATTTATGACTCCCATTTGTGTATAGAAAAGATGTGGGGTACATAATGGATATGACAATAAAAATTAAATTCAACAAAAGTAAATATGTTTTGTTGCAGTCTTAGTATATTGCACTGAGCATATTTGACCGGTCTGAAAGTGCTGCTGGACTGAGCAGGCCCAGCGGCTGGTTTTTGCTGACCATTGCCATAAATCTTCAGAGGTTCACCAAGCAACTATTGTTTTGCTTGAATAGTGGAATTTATTATGTTTTTAAGTATGTAATTATTGCCAAAAAATTGAATTACCTAATTAATACTTGAGGATTACAATCTGTTGCATCAATAATAGTGAAATAGAACTTGAATTACAGGGAAATTAAAATTCAACATAGGGAGCTACAAGGCACACACTGTACCCTTAAAAACGTAAAAGAGTGGCTAAAATTTCAACATTCATACCTTTAACATTGTCCTAGGATTCCAATTTGGCTACAAGTAAGCAGCATGAGTGGGGGTGAAAGAACAGCAATATTTTAACCAAGGTCACTGCAACGTTCCACATGCCAAACATGCACAACCATGCACACAAATGGTCATGCATAAGTACCATACTGAATGTGCCTTGGATATAATGCACAACACACTTTTTAAAAATTTAAGATTTTTTTTTCACACAGCAGTTATACAAAATTTAATAGCTTCTAATATGGGTAAAATATATAAATATTATGTACCATGGAAATACCTGACAAAATTAAATGAGAAATTAATAAATATTGGTGATGATGGTGGTAATATACATATATACTACTTTTATATACCTGTCAATACAAGAATCAAATAAATAACTCACTTCCACATTTGTCTTAACTGAGTTTATCTAATTTACAGTACAGCCACGCAACATGTTTCGGCTCTTACGGAGCCATCATCAGGTGATACAATATATAAAGTCATAAAAATTTTGAGGTTTTCACTGTAGTGATTACTCTGATTCCTCTGAAGTGTTCGTATCAACCTACAAGACTACACGGTGTCACAACACAGAAGACTAGAATAAAAAAACAGGCAGTTTTTTTTTTTTTTAGGTGTTTGAGAAATGTGTGCATCTTATCCAGGCAGATAAGGTGGTATATTGCTCTGAAGTACCATATCTCAGAAACTGACTGCATAATTGTAAAGCGATTGTGTCTGAAAGCGTTGCATAGTTCCAATTAGTTGAAAGTTACACATCTGATGCAATGGACAATACTATCCTATGTTCTGTGTTAACTTAAGGCTTTATTTCAAGTGTCATTCAGGTATGTGTAATTTTGGAAATAAATAGATGTTTCATAGAACTATCATCACTGGAGATTAATGAAATTCATTTTCAGGGAATTTCTTTACACGGCTTTTGTCTTTCACATGTCCTCATATTTATGGAGATTATAAAAATGTTATGCAAATAGTAGATTGTGACCAGGTTTCTACTGCAAAACTCTGGGTAACTGGAAGCAAAGGTTCTTGAGTTATAATAATTAGTGGTCACAAAATAATGCTGATCTCAAAAGTCTTGTTGCTATGTTGAAAGTAGACAAGTGTTTTGTGCTTTGTTTTCAGTAACAAATATTATTCAGTAAAGAGAAATTTAGTTCTGAAATACACCTCAGAAGTCTACAACCAAATTTCTAGATATGGTTTCTTCAAAACTGTAGTTATTTCTGCACAAACCAACCAACTGGAATGAAGTAATATGTGTCCTTCTTAACATTACTTCTCACGCTTGCAGTAGTTCGTAATATATCAGCAGCATTAAATTAATAAACACAAAAAACACTACTGTCACAAACTGCAATAACAAATGCATGTTCCACTTCAGAATCACATAAGAGTAACTGAGGTCTCGGCTTACCAAATATTTGTTTTGCTGTAATTTTAGACTGACATGTTTGCTGTGCAGAGTGCACAAGCATTTCATCATAAAAATACTGAGCTAATGTATAACGAGAACTAGATAACTGTAAGAAATTTATGCTCATATCTCAGATAAATATAGTCACTTTTGCAGGTGCCTTAGTTTCCATGGCTTGAGTTATCAGCTTCTGGGAGTAAATTCCATGGAATATTGAAAGTTTTCCAATATGAATATGGCACAACTGCAGTGTTTACAAAAGCAGGAAAAAGGACTATTCTGTGGCTTGTTTCTAAAAGCCTAAGTTATACACCTTTGCAGGTGATTACTAAATTTTAAATCTCAGAATGTTTTTTAGTGATTCTGTAGTTCCTTCTTCATAAAAATATTAGCATGGTGCATGTCTGTTCTTCTGGAGGGGGAGACTTCTTACTGTGTAACCAGCAAAGTGCTGGATCAGAGATAAAGCCACAGTTTAAAAAACTAAGGGTGTGATAATGTGTTGCCTGGTCAGGGCTATCACACATCTCGGAAGACAGTGACAGATATATATGAAGCAATGGCAGAATGATGATTGAGAGGGGCAACTTGAGCAATGACATGGCCTCTCTTTTAATTCAGCTATGAATTTCAGTATCATAAGTAATGATCTGATCACTATGAAACTCAATACCACTCTGTATGTATTCCTCAGCCATCTGTAAACTGTAATTTGGGAACCACTGCATTACAGGCAAAGACAAAAAAAGATGACACATTTCTTATTTCAACAGCTTTGTCCCAGAGTGTACTGCTGATAAGAGCCACAATTCATACTTCTATACTTCATGAATATGAATATGAATATACATGAAAAATGTTATTTTTTTCTAGGGAAGTAAAAACAAGTGTCAATGTTACAAAGTAAAGGGTTGTTATATTAAGTTAAAATTAATTTAACAAAGGATGTTCTGAATTAAGCATATGATAAGTTTCTAAAGACATTTCTCTAGAACATGCTGTTACAACATTAACTACATTAAAGTAACCCTAAGCTGAGAAAACAAAATTCACTACCAAAGGTAAGAAATGTAATGTAATAGCCAATAAGGTGTTAAAAAAAGAAAGGTAAAGTTATCCATGTAACAGGCCATGGAGGCCCATAGGGTTGTGAGATGTCGAGGCTCCCACATTCTCTAGACAATCAGCCCACAGATGGCGGTGAGGTTGTCAGCCTTACGCGCCAGCTGACCTTAACCGCAGGAAAGATCCTGGTACTCATTTCTGTTAGAGGTTGAGTCAACCCCAGGGCCATAGTGCGGCTGGAAGGATAGGTCAATTGAAAAATCCAGTGACTTTATTGGAAATCGAACCCAGGACCGTTTGGAACAATTCCATACCACTGATGTGGTGATCAGTTGCTCTGTAACTTTCCATATATGAAAGTTGTCATTGTTTTTGAGTAGGCCTATGGCAATTTAGAGGCCTGAAGGTTAAGTTCCACACATTCTTAACACAGATGAGTGAGCAATTTAACTCAGAAAGAGACCCCCTCAACCAGAGATATAGTAGCAAAGTTATATTTTTCTGCTTCTGACAGGAGTGAAAGCATGGTGATCTAGTATAAGGACCAACTCCAACTAAGGCAGCATCTACACGACCGCACAAAATCCGTCCATTGTAACGAACATTGTGATGTCCATTGTTGAAATAAACAAGAGAGGCAAATGCTACGCTTTCTTCTGGCTCCATTGCAGACAGAAAACTGCACACTGCATTCTGCAACTGTGTGGTGTCCTCAGTAAAGTACGTTCATTACAACAGACGCATTTTGTGCGCTCGTGTAGACACTGCCTTAGTGAGCTCCTGGCTGCTCAATATGATATATCTGCAGTAAAGTAACTTTCCCTTTCAATTTATCTTGTGCCTGGTAAGCTAGACCTGTATTGTCACAAAGAATGTGTGGGATGGCTAAGCTGAACCTGTACTATCATGAAGGGATGCACAAAATGCCCAAACCTAACCTACATTGTTACAAAGGAATCCAAATTCAGCACATATCATTAATTTTGTGTTCTCAATGACAGGGATACTTTAAATGTTTACTCTATGTATTTGTGCTTAAACAAAATGGCATGCTTGCAGTGAGCTTCTGAGTCAAATTTCCTATTTGATGTAAACTGTAACATTATTTGTTGATTTCCATAACCAATTAAGTAGTATGAATGTTCAATTCCTTTTAGTAAGGAATATGAATGTACTGAAACTGACCATTCATGTGATGATTCATCTCATGACTCCATCTTTACTTACGTCAGTAGGCACATAAATTTAGGAAACACCTGTGCAAAAATTATTTTTAAACCAGTTGACATTTAGAGAAAACTTTAGTTACGTGGGAGAGGAATAAACATTATCAATAAACAGTAAAACCTATATAATATAGAATCTGGATTGAATAGAAGTCTGCCTTTATCAGATAATATCACTGGTTCCTCGAATACAGAGTGAATAACCAATATAAAATTACATTTCACAGAAAGTGATTTAGCCCAGACATGTAAATCAAAACAAAAACATAATGTAAACGTTCTCCCAGAATATTGTGTTTCAATTCGCATAATCCTATGCAGTACTGCGTTTCACAGAATCTGTTTAATGTAGAACATTCCAATCTCAAGCCGAGAAAAATTAATGATTATCTAAGGGTTCATGACAATGGTCTACCCATTATGTAAATATTATGTTGGACATTGTCCACTATCTAGGATATGTTTAAAATACACAATGTTTCAGAAGCTGGGTCTGTTTCTGTCAGCAGACCGGTCATCCCCGACTAGAGCCTTCTAACAGGAGCTCCACATACATCTTGTGCTGGAAATATATCCAATTTCCAAAATATTGTAATTTTAAATATACTCAGATAATAACAGATGACATGAATTTATATCAAGGAGTAAGTCCAGAAATTCACAAAATAATTTGCAGACTACTTTAATGGATTATGGGGAATAAAAAACATATTTTGTAATATTTAGAAATAGTGTAATATAAAATGGTGGGAAATTCTTGAGTAGCTGCAAAATTGGCCACTCTTCAAGAAGGGCTCATCTCCATGAGTAAGTAAGTAATATACATACACAAAATTAATTTCTGTTTGTGTGAATTAAAAAGACATAGACACATAGGACATGGACTGATTTGTATTATGTGTGTTACTTAACAATTATTTGAGTTATGTGCAAACTTGTATGGAATGGAAAACTGTGCAGGTGTCTTGAGATACCATTATAAGTAGGTTTTATTGTTGTTCTTCTCAAACTTCCATTGTTACTTGAAATGAAAAGCAACATTACGTATCTGATTAAATCAGGAGCAGACAAGAAAGTTAAGTTAGTTTTCTGAAATGTATGATAATCTCTGACTCAATAGAAGCCTACTTCTGTGTGAAGGAACAGAATGCTGAGAAGTTGTTAGGGTAGCCAGAGAACTGTGTGCTGGCTCAAGCATGTTGTATGCATCATTTGGTCGTGTGCCATTGACTGTAATAAGAAACTTATGATATCGGGTGCTAATCAAGTGTGTTTTGATTGAAAAACAAAGAAAAACTTGTGGCAGCTGTCTAAAAGCATTTGTAAAATGCCAAACATAACCTGCCATGAGGAAGACTGTGGCATATGTTCAGGAGCTAAGAACCTAATTGGAAATATTGAGCAGAGATCTGAAAACACCAACACAGACAATGGATGACCATTGACAGATCAACCCTGGACAAAACTGAAATTTTGTAGTTACTTTCTTGAGCCTTCTGCTGAAATGTTACACATCCTGCTTCATCATCCTTTTATGGTAGCACAGATATCACGTTTTTATTAAGAACTGAGGTTATTTCTGATTGTACTGAATACTCGTTCATTCATCATGCAAAATGAAATACAAAGTTTTTGATTCGAACAATGTTCAGGAAATTTTAGTACAGTTGCTTCTTACTGTTCACAGAATGTCATTACACTGCACATCAGTTTTGTTGTTATATCAGATTGTTTAAAACATGATGCTATAGCTATGCATTTCTGAACCCTTCTGGCCACTCAAACAATACTGTGCATTATTTCTGTTTCAAGAAATCAAATTCGGACAAAATGTATTCAGAAGTACATATGTGCATGCAACACCACACATTCATCACACTTGCAAGATGACGAGTATGCACTGGAAGACAAAAGGGGACTTGTAACTTGGAAATGACTAAATTCAACTACCATTTTTCCATCTCTCTAACCCCAGTAAATCTGTTATGTATTCTTCACCACCAGATGGTTTATGAGTTCCGGCTTCAAAAGTACGTACTGAAGTGAATAGAAAAACTGTAATGGGTTGCATATATGGTTATAAGTGAAAAGTAAATGTGTTGCGCCATAGAAACAGGGCTTTGCATACTGTACATAGTTTCTCTTACGACAGATAATCGCTTATGACTTTAAGAAGAAACTAATGTTATTCTGAAGAAAGCAGTCTTCTGGGATTTTGCACCGTGTATATGTGGNTTCTAATGGATAAGCGTACCAGGTGTCTTTTTTGCTTTTCTTATTATTGCTGTATTACATATGTAGCCTACTGTAATCTTTAATCCAAGTGAATAAACACAATAACATGTATCTACAAGATATCCTGGCTTATTTGATGGACAAACATAAGTGACCACGATAACAAGATACATCCAATATACACCTACGTCAGAAATAAATAATAAATAGGATAATGTGGTACATGAAAATGATTTTAAAATGGTCCATTTAAATTTAAATTTAAAATAGTCCATCAACTTGTTACACCTCAGGGGGGAGGGGGTGAGAAATTATAATTACTTGGGCCGGTCGTTACTCATTTCCTAACATCGGCGCTACACTCGGCTGCCGTCGGCTGTCTTAGCTATGGTAGCTCGGGATCGGTCGAGGACAGGATGGTTACTGGCGGGTGAATCAGAACTCCCTGCGTACATTTCCTACTATGTACACTTCTCTATTTACAATAATAATTACATGAAGAAAAAGGTTTGCTTTTGATCTGTCTATCATGACTCTTATCCTAAACTAATTCTACCGACCTTGGTTGTGGAGGGGAGGTGCCTTGAAACTGTGCTCCTATCATTGTCTGTCACTCTCCGTTCATTTCTACCCTGTTCTACCCTGGCTCTCACTTGGTACACTGGAGACTGCCTTATAATCACACAATAACACTTTTCTTAACAATAACATCTAACAGCATGGCGTATATGAGCGAAAAGACTTACTTGCAATACAAATGTAGATTACGGCCGTTGTCCACCCTCTTATGGAATACATGTCGCCGATAGCCTTCGGCTGACAACTCTATATTCTGTATAAGATCAGACTTCCAAGTCTCTTGACTTTCCCTCATTTATAGTCTTAATTCGCTGATTCAGCGTGGACGACAAGGGGGTAGATAGCTCCTCCCTTGTGTTCTAATTTCTTAAAGTTAGGCTTTCATTGGGTATTCTATGTGGCTGGGGGTGGACCTCTTGCGTCTTATCGCTGTGTATTTACTCATATGACCATCTCCAGTGGCCTAGTTAGCGGAGCGTCTTGCATACGGTATTACGCATGAATGCTGATTATCGCATTCTTAACCTCATTGCGTGTCCATGTGTTGTCATCTTTGCTCTTTCACTGCAAAACGCCTTTCGCAAGTCTCCAGGCACCTAGGTAATGACTTAAATTTTCAATCCCAAATTTGATCCTCAACACAACTAATCAAATGTTTCTGTTTCAGTCATGTTATGGGGTTGGCTGCCCTATCGGTGTGACCTCAATTTCCTGTGTCCAACAATAAGCTTATGTTATGCAAGGTACGTTTGTTTCCTGGAACAAAGAGGTGTTTGTTGTATCTATATGTACAAGTTCTGATTAATTATCCGATTCAAAAAATGAGGGGCAGTCAAATGAAAACGGTTCAGAAGCCAAAACTGTTAATACATTTATCCCACATTATCTAGACAATCGGCTCAAAGATGGCGGTAAGGCTCTCAGCTTTACGCACGGGCCGCGCTTTACTTCCCAGGAAAATTATTTAATTAATTCCTGGTACTCATTTCTGTTAGAGGCTGAGTCAACCTCACGGCCATAGTGCAGCTGGAAGGATTAGGTCAACTGAAAAACATCCAGTGACCTCATTGGGACTTGAACTCACAACCTTCCGGTTTGTAGCATAGCCCCTCAAATCAACTGTGCTACCGCATGCCCCCATTATAAATATATACACTACAGTTATACCTGCAGGTTACATGCAAGTATTTCATCAGTCCATTCATGTTGCAACCTGAAATTTTTTATGTATTTAGTATTCATTTTAATAAATCAAGGTAAAAGAAGGTTCAAGATCAAAATGTAATGTGCTCTGAATTATTATGAAATACCACAGTGTGCAGCTTTCAACAAGTGAATGAAAGTTATCTGTAATTTAATTAGGACCAGTGTTACATATATTCGGTGAGTCAAAGTGCAGGAAATGTTAAGGAAAATTTAAATTTTAAATTTGAGATGACTTTGACGTTAAATGACATAGGAAGGAAAAACGTATTTATCACCTAATGATCAGACTATGCACACCTAACAAAATCTCATTGTGATCCCAGGCAGTCATGTCAACTGCCATGTGTATTTCATGTGGAATGACACTTCTATTGTTAATCAGAGAAGCAAAGTTTTCTCCCTATTAGATTGTCTTCTTTTTCTTAGAATTTGCAAACTATGAAACTTCATCCTTGGAGCTAAAATTATTGAACACAAATGAAATCTCCTATTTATCCAGATTCATTTTATAAAGGTCTTACAAGTTGCGAAATTCCATTCAGACAGTATGTTCTGGTAGTGCGTAACCAGCTGACATTCACTTAAGCTTCTGGAGGACATCATCAGTAACTAAATTTTTCATGTAACTACTTACATCATTGCTGAGGGACTCGGACTTGCCTGGGAGCCCTGGAGGTCCTGGAGATCCTGGGATCCCTGGTAAACCATCCCTTCCTGGTTCCCCTGTAACAGTAACAGTAACATTCTCAAAAAGAAAATCATGAAGGGTTTATTACCTACCTCAAAGTTTGTATGATCAACAGCCAAATAAGTGATGCATTTATTCATATTACATGACAGTGTCTTATAAAAAAAACACTTCTTCAGAATGTCTTATCAAGTGAGCGATCCATCAGTTATGTAACTCTCTATGGCTCTACAGCCCTTTGGACCTTGGAAGCTTTTCCAATTTCTCTGATCTTTTACACAGTTGGTAGGACTACTTGGACGGGGGTTCAGGCCGTCACAAGGCCGCTACAAACACAGAATAATGCACACAGACATCCATGCCTTCAGTGGAATTCGAACCCACGATCCGACGTTGAGGGTCCCACTCATCTATACAATCAGCTCAAAGATGGCGGTAAGGTTGTCAGCCTTACGCGCTGGCCCCAGGAAAATTATTTAATGAATTCCTGGTACTCATTTCTGTTAGAGGCTGAGTAAACACCAGGGCCTAGTGCGGCTGGAAGGATTAGGTCAACTGAAAAAATCCAATGACCTCATCGGGACTTGAACCCGCAACCTTCCGGCTTGTAGCATAGCTCCTCAACCACTACGCTACCGCGTGCCCCCAGATGATTGATGATATCAGCAGAAATGCGTTTCATAAGGACTGAAGGATATGCCCTTTCTGATTGTAAAACAGTAAAAATTATGAGACAATTCATAATGTCCAGAGATGTAATATTTGTATGCGAGAGCTACAGATTCTATAAATATCAGATTCATGGAACATTACAGAAGAAATTGGAAAGAACATGCTGATGAGAGAATGAGCCCTGACACGATTCCAAAAAGACCTTAAAATATCAAAAGGAAAAAACCAAAATGATGGCAGATGCGTGTTTCTATGTCTGCAATATGTCTCAATAGGAAAAACACTGAAAAGGATGAAGATCACAATGAAATTAGTTTTCTTACATTATTTAACTAAACGAGACTATATGGTGTCAAACCACAAGACAACAGACTAATAATAAAATGAAAAATATGTGAGAGCAAGCTGTCATGGCCCAACTGAGGCATTGTCCTAGCATTTGCCTGGAGGGTGTGGAGAAAACTAAATTAACCTCAGTCATGACATCCAGTGTCCTGGCCAATGTTAGAACTGAGCACATCCTGAGCATGACTTCTAGAGTTTTATTACAATGCCAATCTGCCAACCATCAAATATTATCCTTTCAGAGATTAACAGACAAGGCCTACTGGCATAACTAACCTCACGAAGGAGAGAAATTGATGGCCATCTAAGGGAAATTGCTCAGACTCATTCATATCTACATGAATTTATTACTTACCTTTTGACCCCTGAATACCTTCAGGTCCTGGAGGACCAGAGTCCCCCCTGTCTCCTTTATCCCCTCGAGGTCCAGGAGGTCCTCTTTCACCAGGAGGCCCAGGAAGACCCTATAAGCCAATATTATGCTTATGTACATTAATCCCAATGTGAAACAGAGGTCACTATGGACCAACCAGAAGGCCAGATTGTGGCAGCTTCTGGAGTACTGGGACATCATCTCTCCTGGAAATACAGGGTAATTCGTAAGTCCTTCTGGAAACCCCGACAATAATTTAGAATCACTCTGTCGATGAAATACATGGCTACAAGGGGTACTATGATTATAAGTTATTGTCGGGGTTTCCGGAGGGACTTATGAATTACCCTGCATAAATGTGGCCTAGGGAAATGCATGAAGACCCAACAAGGGATCTAGAACCAGCGGGTGGAACAACTCTCCTAACAGGGCCTATATGAGTATTGTTAGGGAACCAGAGGTTGAGCGATGGAATGAAGTGGGCAGTCCATACAACGTATGGAAGGAAATGTAGCTGAAACAGATGTCAGGGTCTAAAGCAGGGTGAGAAAGCTATGGAGACTAGAAATAGACTGACACAACACATGGGCCAAGAAAAATCATGATGAACCTGTCAGGATAGCTGATGTCCAGCCAAGATTCAAACTAAGTACCTACCAAATACAAGTTACCTCTAGATCAGTGTGTTCAGGGGTTTATATCTGTATGCTATGGCCAATTAGCAAAAATAACAGATGGCAATTAGTAACATCTGAATTATTGAACTTTTCTTGAGGGACTCTCTGCCCATGGTCACTTGTAGCGCCATCTGGCTGTCAAGTAAACACTGGTCACCCCTGATTCCAAGTATGGATAAAGTTCCTACATTCTGTTTTCAGCAAACAGCGGTAACCCAAATCACCATACAGCAGATCTCATTGGACATGTGACTTCTCTTCTGTGAGGCTGCCTACTCAAAATATGATGTATTCTCAGAGATGGTTCCAGCAGACAATATTAAAACTGTAATCCACTTTAAATAAGCATATGCCTGGATGTACTAGAATGTATACCATTACTGTGAGAAATAACTGAGGATTGTTGGTACTGGTAAGGTTTGAACCAATCACTGTAGCACAGAGCTAAGTTCTCTAACTGTAACCTCCTCATTATATACTCATTTACCTTCTTTATTGCCAGTATGTGGAAACACAGTGCCATCTCTGGAGCAAAACAAGCAATACTCCTCCTCATGAATAGCAATGGAAAATGTATACTCCATAATGCAGTGAGCATAATTCCCAGTGACACTCTTTGTAGTTTATTAAGATTACTTGTGGCCTGTGTATAAAATTATATTAACGGTTTATAATTAATTCTATTTATGACTGTAAGTAAACTGTACTTTATTATGACTCACTGTGGCTGAAAACCAGAAGTGACCAAGGACATTTAGTAAGACTCCAATACCAACTTTTAAATAAATATGTCCTACAGTATTGGCACTTATACCACGTCACAGACACTAAGACAGGCACCTGTACCAGATCACAGACATTAAGCTCAACAGATCTTTTCCTGTAAAGAATACCTAATAATGTGAATAATGTATTTTTTATTGCTAGTGGGGTGGGACTAAGTCCCTTGTACTGTGGCCACTTCTGGCCTATTGTACCAGCCCCAGATGATAGGTGAGGGTGCTTGTGGAGCAACTGCTGGAATGAAGATTGGCAGGGGAAACCGAAGTACTCGGGGAAAGCCTGCCCCAGCGCCACTTTGTCCACCACAAATCCCACTTGACCAGACCCAGGATCAAACCCGCGCCGCCGTGATGGGAAGCCAGCGACTAACCTCTTGAGCTATGGCACAGCCTTGAGTGAATAATGTAACAAACAATGGTCTTCTGTAACCATGATGCAAAAAAAATTCTATGTTCACTTTCTAGTGCCAGATATTTAAAGGGTCACAGACCCCATAGCCAATCTGAACATACTGGAAAAGAGAAAAGTGCCTGTCTTCTTTGGAAATTGAACCCTGATCAACTTAAATGAGTTCAGTCACATCAATCTATACATGTGTTTAGGCTATACATTTCAGTTTTATGCTGAAATTAATTATTGGTATTCAGTGCATAAAATTAACTCTGTGTTTCATTTTCAAATACTAAATATTACACAAAGTTCAATGAATATTTAAATGTCAGTAGCCAAACATTTGTGACCATCTAAGACAAAATATCATAAAGCAAATTTTAAATGTGTCTAGTTTAAACTTGTACATTTACTGGGAAGTAACATGTTCACTTACTGAAGTTCCTGGTGGTCCAGCCTTTCCATCAATACCAGGAACACCTGGAGGTCCAGGGATCATATCTTGTAATGTCAGAGAATTCAGAAACGTAGTCAGATTGCACGAACACACTCCAGGAGGTCCAGGAGGGCCCATTATTCCTCCACCAAACTGAAATACAGTCACAATTTCTGTCTTATGAAAGTATAACTTAAAGAAAGGAAATTAAGCAACATTTTACATATTTCATAGGAAAGTTAATGTAATTACAGAATACAGAATGTAAAATATTGTCAGTTCCCTGAGAGTCACTGAATGTTATTTTAAATTTCTATTTGCCATTTATAAATACCGATGTCATATTTTATTATGTGTATGACTTAAAAGACTAAATTATATAAACAGTATGAGATTACTCGTAATGATGGTAATACACTTCAGGCAGAGACTGGAGAGGAGCAAGGCAACAACAGCAATGACAACAAAGTCATGTCACTGCTGTTCATAAAATAAACCACACTACTACCTCTACCGTTATTCCTACTATCCTTCTGCTGCCCCCTTCGCCTCCTGCCACTGCTGTCATATTTATCTTTTATTTTCTAATTCTTGCCTCTACTTAGCTTCCTGATGTCAAGTTCTTAAATAATTGAATTCGACTAACTTTAAATTATAAGAAGGGCTAATGTAAGCCTCAATGTCACCCCAGGTGTCAGCATACTCCACCACCTGTTTTCAGTTAAAACAGACGAACTTTCTCAGAACATTGCCACAATTAATAGCATAAAATTCTATGACATTGATAAGAAAACCGTTATTCATATCATATTTCTTAAGACAGTTTCGCTTATGTAATTGCACAGTAAATAATAATTTGTAAAGTTGCCAACCCAGGCGACTGCTTCACCTGTACTCTTCTGTTGGCCCAGGTTATAACACAGTATATGTACAATGCTATGTGGCTGACTACTCACAGGAAGATCATCTCCCGATCCAGAAGAAAATTCCCCAAGACCTGAACCGCCCGAGAATGGTGGTCCAGGAGGCCCAGGTGGGCCGGGAGGTCCTGGAGGCCCGCGTATTGACTCGCCTGGAGGGCCCTAAAAACGTACACATAACAATTACGACAATTATTCGTGGAAACAATGGATGTAATTTCAAAAATTTTAAACTAGGAATCATGTGCTGCTACTCCCTTTCAATATGAAATAAATGTAAGCTGAAAATCTCCTCATAAACATAGTTTTGAGGGCAACATTATAATTGAGCATTCAGAATAAGAAGATTAGAATTGACAATAATTTAACCAAACTGATAATCAGTTAACCAATCAGATCAAAATATATTCAGTTAATGGTAAGAGTTTCCCTTCTTCTAGGGAACTCAACGGTTAATTATCATATACACAAAAGCCTGCCACTTTTCCTTATCCTGCGTGAGATGAACCAAGCCCATATCCTCATACCATGTTTCTTCAAGATCAAGCTTAATATTATCCTTCATCTATCTACTTGCATATATCCAAAGTTGGCTTTTCCTTTGATTTTTTGCCTAACTGTGTATGTATTTATTATCAATAAAACGATGGTAGGTGACAGTTTGTAGAATTACTCAAGTTCAACACATTCAACACACGGCTTCCATTTACCTCCAATTGAATTGCTTTACAATCACTTGTCTGCGTCAACTTGGGCCACTGTTTTAGATGAATTCTAACTGCTGTTTCTAAATTACAAGGGGGCTAAGTTTCATGTCACATAATGTAGAGAATTCTGAATCACAGTTTTAGCAAATTCAACCAACAGAGAGTCTAAACAATCAGCTTTTGGACATGTATACATTCTGTTTAGTGTGTCACAAAGAAAAGTTTAAGAAATGTGCCTATTAGCTTTGTCATGTCCTGTCTGTTCGTCCGTCCACGTGTAACAACTCCAGATTTGCTCAAAGGATTTTAATTAAATTTAAAATAAAAAATTTTTACTAAAATTTGTCACACCACTCCAATATCGGTTAAAATCAGACAACAATAATGGATGCTTCTCAAGAACTACAGATGTTTCTGGTCTACCTTAAGAATAACTCATTGCTAATATTAGGAAGCAAATTGTAGAGAGGAATGCAATACAGTTTATCTCAAGTACAAATTCCGTAAGTCTTCTGGTTTTTGAGACAAACAAAAATGTAGCAAACACGTCACTATGCATCAATCCAACAATTTGCTTATTTGAGGTTATGACAACACATTCATTGGCAAACTCTTTGTGAACAGGGTAATAAACAATGGGGTTAATAGAACGCGATGAATTTTTAACTAGTGGAACGATCAACACAAAATGTACACTAAATCATACAGTTAGTTATTTCCTATGTTCTACGTGGGTTTACATTGAAGATTTAAACATAAAGACACAATTGCTTACCCGTGGGCCTCTTTCTCCTTTGTCACCTTTTATACCCCGAGACGGAAAATCTGCAAGAGAAGAGAGAAATAAGAAAGTACATAAAAGAATGCTCAGAATTTTAATGGTCTCATGAGTACCATATTTCATGTCATACCGGCTGGCGCAAAAAGAGCATAAAGAAGGGAAACAATGAAACGCTGTACGAATCTGAAAGAAATTGATATAAGCTGCATAAACATACAAAAGTATTCCTATGAAGAGATCAATACAGTTCAGTTAATCCGTTATTTCACTTTACATTCTCTGTTCTTTCTTCGTAACACTTATGTATGTACATACGTACATGTGTATGAATGTATGTGAAACCCTAGAATTTGCACTTCCCAAATCATGTTAATACTAAGCCAGTTAGCTCAAGTGATAATGGCTCTGACTTGTATTCAGAAGGCGTCCAGTTCGAATACTGCCCGAGATACCGACTATCCTCATTGCAGGTTAGCAGGGAGGTGGAGTCCAATTGGGTTCACTCGTCATGATGGCCACTTGTTGGCCTATTGTAGCCTGCCCCGAGTGATTATGATGATGGAGAATTTGGTGGAATGAAGAGAGGGAGGGGAAACCGAAGTACTCGGAAACAACCCGCTCCCAGCTCCACTTTGTCCACCACAAATCCCACTTGACCAGACCCGGGATCGAACCCGGGCCGCTGCGATGGGAAGCCAGCGACTAACCGCTGGAGCTATGGCGCGGCCCTAAGTAAACCTCACGTAAAGACAGTAAACCCTCGGTAATCCGGATCGAAATATGAAAAAAGAAAAATTCTCTTCACAGCTCAGTACATACAAATACTTTAAAAGACACGTGGGATTTAGGAGCAAGAGGACTTTCGGCCTGTGTTGAGGGCAGCTGGAGAGACTGAAACCAGGCAAGGAAATATCCAAGATTGGCTTCAGCTGGATGAAGGAGTCCCTGGATTTCAGCTTCTGGCAGGGGAAAAAAATAATGCAGTGATATTTTTCTATCTATTTTCATCAGAACTATCCATATTATTAAATTTTCCATTTATTTGTTTTCTAGGTTTCGTATTTCTTTTAGGGCCATCTTTTGCTTCATTAATCCGGATGACCTCAGCCTCAGTTAATCCGGAATAGCGAGGGTTTACTGCACCTAGTTCCCACGTCATGTTATGGTCAGCTGGGGCGTATAACCGAGTACCAAATTTTGGAGAAACCTGATTCCTGAAGATCACGGCACTGCGTTCGCTTTAGATGACGGTAACCATCTCGCAGGCTAATTTCCGAGCGTTACAGCATCTAGGCTAGGCCAAGGATCAGGAAGAAAACAGTCGTAGTCTAAACGGGACTTCCTGAGGGGACAGAGAGGCAAGAAACCCTCAGGATAGCTCGCGGACATGTCCAGATTGAGAGCCGAGCACTTCCCGACTGGGAGTCTACAGCGTTACCGCTAAGCGTGCCTGCTCTGTCATGACTGCATTAAATGCGATGGTGTCTCGAGTGTGGCAATGTCCCTGCAATCCTCTGACTAAGTTCACAATTGGGGAAAGTTGCAACGCGGTAGCGTAGATGGTTGAGGCACTATACTACAAGCCGGTAGGTCGCGGCTTTGAATCCCGATGAGGTAACTGCATTTTTTCAATTGACCTAATCCTTCTAGGAACACTATGGCCCTGTGGGGGGGGTCGACTCAGCCTCTAACAGAATTGAGTACCAGGAATATTTCTGGGGGTAAAGGGGACCGGCCGGCGCGTAGGGCTGATCTCACCGCCATCTGTGAGCTGATTGTCTAGAAAATCGGGGAACCTCGACGTCTCACAACTTTATGAACCTCAACGGCATGTTACAGGGACAGACTTACTTTTTTTTAAAAGCTAGTGGAGTGGGACTAAGTCCCTTGTACTGTGGCCACTTCTGGCATGAGAGGTGAGGGTGATTGTGGAGCAATTGGTGGAAAGAAGATTGGCAGGGGAAACCGAAGTACTCTGAGAAAACCTGCTCCAGCGCCACTTTGTCCACCACAAATCCCACTTGACCAGACCCAGGATCGAACCCAGCGACTAACAGCTTGAGCTATGGCACGACCCGACAGACTTACTTACTTTTACTGTATTGAAGGTAATCTTGAGAGACAGCTACGATCTTTTGTACTTTTTCCTGAGTCGAATATGAGTGATAATTTCCCTATCGCGATAATGCAGAGTCGGATGGTGCGATTATACGCAAATAATGAATTGAGAAGGATTTTCAACGGAACGGCCGTGATCTAATCGAGGCAGTTTTCCTGAAGAGACTGAGGCAGATGATGGGAAAACCTGCCAGAGAGTCATTATTCCAGCCGAGAGTCGAAAAGAACACCTCCCGAATACAATTCTAAAATATTTCCTTTAGACCAATCTGTGCAGTGTGATTTTTAGCAATAATTTCCGTTTTTATTTTCACATATATAGAATGAAACACTAATATCCACCAATGAAGAGAAGGCGAGGCAGTTAACAATTGATTTGGAGCACACTGAGTGTCAGTGTGCAAGCGAAAAAAGTAAGAGACGTTCCAGCTTGCACAGCACATGTGTGCCGGCCTTGGTTAACTGCCTCGCCTTCTCTTCTTTGCAGGACAGTGCATACGGCTTCTAGCATACTGAGAGCAGTAGTGTTATGTCCAAAACATCTCTCAATATTCATGATCATTAAATAGCAACGTGGGTCATTGTCATTTGGAAGTTTCAACATAAGATGTTACCAAAGCTCCCACACCGCAAATCTCTTTCTTTTCGTAAGGTTGGCTACTTAGGGCGCTGGGTCTGCTCAGAAATGTTTTAGACATAATTCTGCATGCCTCTGTGCGTTAGTGCAGGGGTGTGAAACAGTTTCATTTACATATTCAATGAAATATGATAGCTCTTCAGCTGACAAAACGAAATTTGATTATTCCGCTTAAAGAAAACTAGAACTCATAATACCGAACGCTGTGAAAAACCGGAAATGAAGTCAGAGGTGGAAGACTAGAACGTAAACGTTGTTGAAACAGATCTACAGTTACAACTCGGGTGCTTGTATGAAAACAAACAGCCAACACTTAACAAGCCCAGCCTCTAGACCAGTTAGCTCAAACGTGTATTCATTTGACGAGGCTGCCAATATCTGTGTTTACACAGAGGCAGATAATAGCACAACTCACGGACAGTAATTCCGCGAGTTACAGCATTTCGGATTCTTTGGTTATAAAGAATTCTATATTACTAGATACAACGCCTTGCAGTCACTTGAAAAACAAACATATCACGTCCATCTTCAGGGTTCAACAGCACTCCAAGTACTAAAACAGCTTTAAGCAGACAGAAATTAATCCTCTGAAACGTCGGTTGACTTTCAGCGGACTGAAACGACGTTATATCCCAGAAAACAGAGTTATCTGTTTACTGAGTTGTTTGCATGATCCTTCCTCTGAAATATCAGTAACGATTTATACTTATATTCGGGGGGGGGGGTTCGGTTTGAATTTCAGCCGGGGGATCCGCTATCGTGGTCTTTCTCGGTCCCTCCGGGCACAAGCTGCGACAGCGCTCTCGTCAGAGAGGATGTTACGTAAGGGCTATGACCACAAAGGTTTATTTGGAAAAAATCACTGGTCGTGAGTATAAAGGGGCTTGGGGCCAAGACGAACTGACTGGCGCCAGGCGGTAAACCACTACTCGTAAAGTAACTTTGAATTCAGGGCCGCGCCAGAGCTCAAGCGGTTAGTCGCGAGCTTCCCACCGCGGCGGCCCGGGTTCGATCCCGGGTCTGGTCAAGTGGGATTTATGGTGGCGCTAGGGCAGGTTTTCTCCGAGTATTTCGATTTCCCCTGCCAATCTTCATTCCACCAATTGCTCCACAATCACCCTCACCTATCATCTGGGGCTGGTACAATAGGCCAGAAGTGGCCGCAGTACAAGGGACTTAGTCCCACCCCACTAGCAATAAAAATAAATTCTGAATTCTCTCTGAATGTTTCAGATGAGTTCTGCAAGGGAGGTTGAGAACATATGGCGCTATAATTGACAGCTAAGAAGCTGAAGAGTTTTCATTGTTAAGATCCGTTACCCGGAAACGACTACCTAAAGCAGACTGAGAAGACCTAGGCAGTGCTCTAGTGATCTGTAAATTGTGGAAATCAGCGATAATGTTACAGCTATTTGTAGTTACGATGTGTAAGTGGGCAATAAATTTCTTCACAAATCCACACCCCTAAATCGTGATATTATATTCGTTTAACGGCATTGCGGAAGGAAGCGGTCGTGGCTTAATTTGAGGAAGTATCCTGGCATTTGCATGGAGGAACTGAGGAAGACCGCGACGCTCCTTCGGTCAGAATAGCCGGTTACCGGACCGATATCTGAACCAGACATATTTCGAATGCGACCAGTAAACTACGGCGGCATTAGGTACGTTGCTCTACTGTAAGCCCTGCGAATTAGAAGTAAATCGGTAACTGTGTCCGTTTAAATAATAAACAAATAAATATAAGTCCATTAAAATACGAAATAAGGTTTCGGTGGAAAGGGGCGGACCCAGAGCTTGTTGAACCCAGCTCGCATTAACAAAATCTATGTCATTTAATATCCACTTTAACCCTTTAAAGCACGGTGGTTATTATATGTTCATCCAAACACTCTCCATTCTGCCCACACAGTGTACGTGTATTTAAGCGTTTCGTACACAAAACATAAATTGTCTCTCAAGCTCTGTAAAGAAGAAATTAATTATTATATGTTATTTATATGAATTTCGAGAATAATCAATTTACACACCTCAATATGCACATCCAAAACTGGATATGTTCGTCCTGGGTTATTCGATCCATGTAAACCTATCCCATATTCATACCTTGGTACCCCTGCACAACTTAATCGCTTCATAACAATACGGAGTGTCCCAATATCCTTAAAGTATTTCTCTTTGCAGTAGGAGAACACCAAGAGCTATGTAAGTTTGCGAGCAATCACTTCACACGAAACATTTGAAATAAATGAAGTGCCATGTAAACATAAGAACAAAAAGTTGGTTTGCAGAAATCTCGACTGAAATGACAGTTTGAAAAATAGTTACTTTATTTTTAGGGATTCTTTTCAAAGTAAACAAAACGCCTCATGTAAGATTTGAGGTTTTCACGGCGGTGATTATGAAGAAAGCCGTCTTCTGGGATGTGGTGCCGTGTAGAAATTGTGTTGACCGACGTTTCGGAGGAACGTATCGCCACCATCTTCAAGGTAGAAGACAAGATAAAATCCGCGAGCTCCTGGCCACTTCATCAGACCCTTCCCCTCCCTACCGTTTCCCTATCTATCCCCACTCACTTCCCTCCTCTTATACAGCTGTGTTTACTCGACTGGACTCAGCCTGTTACACCTGCTGAAGCTGGTTCGCTCGCGATACGTTCCTCCGAAACTTCGGTTAACAAAATTTCTACACGGCGCCACACCCCAGAAGAGGGCTTTCTTCAGAACGGCTTACGTTGATCCCATGTATGTCCGTTTATCTGTGACCAAGTGTCTAAACCGTTGAACACGTAGAGGCAAAGTTGTCCCTGTGCTTAATTTGTTAACCGCCACGTCATTAAGAAGTGGGGGGGGGGTGGAGACATAGCTACAACATTCCTAATCTCGGCACTACATGGAGATGTGTGGTCAGCTTCACGCCCCGGCTACTTTACCTCAGTGGAAACGTCCCTCTGTACAATTTTCTTTAAAATTCGACATGGCAGACTCGTCGCATAAAAAAAATCCGATTTTCAGCCACACTGACCCGTAATAAACTATTCTTTACGTCTGAAAATTCTATGCAGATCATAAAGAGTAATTAAATTTTACTAAAATTCAATATGGTTTACATAGTTATTCGGTCATTTTGTTTTGTAGTCATACTGACAAACTATGAAGTATATATTACATAAGGACATAAATGGACTTCTATCGAACCCCATAAACCCTGAATGCACAGAGTAGAATGACAGGAAGCGGTCGTGGCCTATTCGAGGTATTATTATATTTATATTATAAACGAGCTTCGAACCAAGCGCCTCCCTGATATGAGACAAAAGCGTTACAACTCTCGTCAGTAAGCTTAGCAAAAGTAAGAAACTTCAACGGAGAGTGGACATATTTGCCTTTCCTTTTCCTTGCAAATCGGCAAAGTTTTCAGAGGCGTTTCTTTTATTACAAAAAACGTCATTCCGACATACTGCGTACTACCGCGCTGGTCTGCAGGAAACGGAACGCAGAAACTTCCCATTCCGCAAGCTGATTTCTACCCTGAAGATGGAAGCGATACGTTCCTCCGAAACGTCGGTTCACAGAAGATCTACACGGTGCCACATCCCAGAAGACGGCATTCTTCATTCAGACGCCTGTCTCACAAGTCAAGCCGACACGTAAGGCGCCGACTGGCTTCACGGCTCGGCTCTATAGAAAACTCACTAAATATTCGTCATTGTTAACGCGTGCTCTGTCTCATACTTAACCAGTGTTCCTCGGTTTATTTTAACAAAGTTGCATTTGGCAGAAGCAGGGATTTCTGACATTTTCCTACAGGACGTAGTTAATAGTACTACAAAATAATCAGGATAATTGATCCATTAATCCAAACATGAAAACAGATATTTTGCGAATGTAAGACGAGTTTATTACCAAAGAAATGAGAAGAAATGCACATGAAGGCTCATATAAGATGTCGAATACATGTCAAAATTCAGGATCAATTCGTGTAATAAAATTACCTCAGGAATTTTTGGGACACTCTGTATATGAACTACACTAAACGACAGAAAACATCAATGTAGAAATGATTGCAGGTTGAGCAATCGACGTTACGTCCGTCCGTAATGGTAAAAGAAAGCAAGTTGGCCAAGTGTCCTTATTACATTCTTTTTTTTTTTTTTTTTTCNTCTTGTCTGTCTTTACATTAGTGCTCAAGGACGGACATACCGTCAGGACCTGGGGGAGGTGGGGGGAAAGGAGGTAACAAACCTCCGGTTTCCCCTCGGCCACTTCCTTCGCCACTGGATAACACTGACTCTTCCCCTCCTTCCTCCTGGTCCACCTGAAACATCACAAACAAACCAAATTTCGATTAAAGTCACAAACTTCCACAGGTTCACGTACAGTGACATGAAATATCATCTACTCGTAGCTGTTGTCACGTGATGAACCAGTGGCTGGTCGAGTGGACGGGTCAGAGGAACAGGCGAAACTTCAGAACAAACTGTACGATTTGAGTTTGTGATGGACAGTGGAAAGTTTGAGAGAGAATTTGTGTAAAATATTTTTAAGACTTTATAACTTGTACTTTTTTCCAAATGTAATTAGAATGATCAAGTCATGGAGGATGACGTGGGCAGGGCATGTAGCACGAATGGGGGATATACGAGGAATGCATAAGAAGGAAAGAGACCACTTGGAAGACCAAGGCGTAGGTGGGTGGACAATATTAAAATGGATTTTAGAGAGATAGGATGAGATGGTATGGTTGGATTGATCTGGCTCAGGATAGAGACCAGTGGATGGTTCTTGTGAACACGATAATGAACCTTCGGGTTTCATAAAATGCTGGGAAATTCTTGAGTAGCTGCAGAATTGGCGGCTCCTCAAGAGGGTTATGATACCTTGTACTCTTGTAGGTTGGTACAGACGTTTCAGAGGAACATACTCCCTTGATATTCTGGGAAATGTATAAGCTTAAAAAAGATGTATAGAATACAATTTGGGTTCCTACCTTCATGTATGCACACCGAAATCTCTGTAGGATTTGAGGAACCCACAGCGGTGTAGTCCCTCGATAGTCAACCGACGTTTCGGAGGAACACGACTATTGTCTCAGAGGTTTGGTATGTTTTCCTCGAAGCCTCTACAAATTTCCCGGTAAAATACCTATATTAGGCCACGACCAATTCCTTCATAATCCTTTCAATTCATCTATCATGCTATTCGACTTTAAATAACAACATACTCGGTAGCAGGAGCATTTCGAGAACGATGGAGGATGATGATGATACATCGTAACAAATAAAAAGGTAAAGCTACCCCTGTAACGGACCGTGGAGGCCCATAGTGTTCTGAGACGTCGAGGATCCCACATTTTCTAGACAATCGGCTCACAGATGGCGGTAAGGTTGTCAGCCTTACGCGCCGGCCGCTCTGTACCCTCTAGGAAGATACCTGATACTCATTTCACTTAGAGCCTGAGTCGACCCCAGGGCCATAGTGCTGCTGGAAGGATTAAACTGAAAAATCCACCTCCTCGGACCCGAACCCGCGACCTTCCGGCTTGTAGCACAGTGCCTCAACCATCTACATTGTAACTAAGGACCTATTATAGCACATACACACCCTCAGAGTCCTTATCAAAATCGACTCGATCAAATCCAGCGCGCATCCTACTGAGAACGGCCAGGACTAGAAACAATGGACAACAGAGGAAAAAAGTAAGGGATGCATTCGTGAGAATTTCTCTGCTCGTGTAGAGAGGACGAGGAGGCAGACACTGTAAACACAATTCAGGCAAGGAAGATAGACGTACTGGGGTGAGTGGGTTGGAAACCTGGATGCAGTGTCGACACTTGACTCAGGACGTGACGGAATTTTCGAAACTTCACAGCAAGTGGGGGGGGGGACTACCTTTGTGTTTCCACGAACACAACTAACCCGATGTACATCTCTCATACAATCGATATCCGAGGAAGGTTACTTTCTTCACACATAAAATGCTTAAGATCTGGTGTTTCTGCAGAGATGAAGATTTGAATTGTGGCGGTCTTGCGCAGTACGAGTGTACGCAACTGTCAATAAATCGCACTATATCATCAAATTGTGTGGAGGAGGTGAGCGAAACATTAGATATCTCGAGCATTATAATCGCTCTTCAGGCAGAGATCCAAACTCGGAACCTCCCAAACACAAATCACAAACAATTCCGCTTGAGCCCAACTGCTCGAGTAACTAGTCAAAAAATTTCCCATCTTTTATGAAACCCGAAATATTCAGTACCATGTCCACAAAAGGGGCCTCACTAGAGCAACTAATAAAAAAGTAAAAAGGTAAAGCTATCCCTGTAACTGGCCGTGGAGGCCCATAGGGTTGTGAGACGTCGAGGTTCCCACATTTTCTCTAGACAATTGGCTCACAGATGGCGGTAAAATTGTCAGCTTTACGAGCCGGCCACCCTTTACCCCCCAAGAATATTCCTGGTACTCATTTCTGTTAGAGGCTGAGTCGACCCCAGGGCCATAGTGCGGCTGGAAGGATTAGGTAAATTGAAAAATCCAATGACCTCGACAGGAGTCGAACCCGCGACCTTCCGGCTTGAAGCACAGTGCCTCAACAAACTACAATAAGTAACTACAAGACTACGAGTAACTTCACAACTAACTAGTTCACTAATTAACTATATCACATAGTGGTTAACTGCAGCATATAGTTAATTAGCTACTGAATAACTGCCATCTTAATTCATTACCGCGCTCCTTAGCTCTTGAAAGCGCATTGGTTAGCATATGTACCACTTTCTTCAAGATTAAAAAACTCTTAGACTTTTCCACACAATGTAAAAAAAGGTAAAGTTGTCGCTGTGCTTAATTAATTAAGCACCATGCCATTAAGACGTATGGGGGAGTGAAGGTATAGCTCCTCCATTCTTAACCTTGGTACTAGATGAAGGTGAGTTGTCAGCTTCACGTTCAGGCCGTTTTACACCAGAGAAACGGCCCTCGGTACATATTGGATAGGAGACTAGGTGGGCCCCACAGCCGGTCTGGACGCTGTGGAGAGGAGAAAAAATCTCTTAACCCGGCCGGAAATCGAACCCTGGCCGTCCATTCCGTAGCCTGTCGCTATACCGACCGAATATCACGACTCTTCCCACATACTGTATTCCTGAAATCAACATGTGGCAAAAGGCGGATTTGAGATCATAAAGGTGGTGTCTATGAAGAGTACTGATCCTCTGGGATGTGACACCGTGTAGTCTGGTAGAAGATCGCCGATCTTTCTGATGACCGTACTCCCAAGGTCGATAAGTACGACACTATCAAATAAGGAGGCAGCAGATGACGGCAATAAGTTCTCAGAAACGTCGGTTAACGTCTATCGGACTGCACGGCGTCACATCCAAACTTAAAGTAATCTCCACACTCACCGACGCATGAACCTCAAACAAAAAATAGGTTAAGATCTGATTTGATTAATTCGTGGGGCTGGGTGAGACCGAGACCACCGTACCCGCTCCGGATGTCAGCTGAGCGGGAACAGTCGATGTGGCAAGGGACATCTAAGTACTAGGAGAAAACCGGCCACTTTGCTCGCCATAAATCCCACATCACCTACCCTGAGATCGAACTCGAGCCGCTTCCTTGAAAATCCAACGACTATCTGGAAGATAAGTTTAGTTAATGTACCGATCGAAATTCGAACCCGGCACTTCCCGAAGTAGCGTACCGCAACAAGACAACTTCCCTAGTCAAATAAAATACAACTTTGTCATGTCACTCTAATGATTATGTATGTAGATAACCTTATTCGGTTAAGATTTTCATCTCTTTTCGACTTTGCGGCATCTAATTCCACGTGACATAACCTCACCTTCCTTTCGATGCTAATAACTTCAGTTGGTCACCGTCGCAGGTTACGCTCAGCTCCGTTGATAACTATACGCCTCGTTAAATTCTTTTAAAGCATGATGACAAAGATAAGGCGGTCTTTCAGACTGAACGCGGCTTCTGGAACATAATCCATTGACGTCAGGTTTGTCGTGAGCTTCATGTCAGATTTCTCATAAAGCGGACGAACCGTGCACGGTTACCAACGCCTGCAATAATATCATTATTCATTACATATTTATGGCTAGTTTTTTCATGACTCATTTACCCTGTAACGCTGGGAACAATAGCCCTTCTACATAGATGGCTGTTGTTCTTTCAGTACTGCACTCTAATGACAGATTTTCGTACTAAGACGTCTTCTAAAGCATTTGTATGCATATCAAAGAAAAGCATTTTATCTGAAGAGTACTTTTCTAGTGTGGTTATTTACCGATGCTATCAGTTTCTGAACTATACAGCGGCGATATAGGATGATTAATAAACGCGAAGCAATTTGTAAAATAATAAACAGCAGGGAGAACTCTAGAGAAAACCCACCCCACTGTCATTTTCTCCACCGCAAATTACACACCACATGACCTGGATTCAAACACGGACGTCTGCGGTGTGAAGCCGACAACTAACCGTCTGAGCTATGGAACGACTTTCGGTAGACGCTCACGGACGTTTCGGAGGAAGTTACTGCCTCCGTCTTCAGGGTATAAGGGTAGATAAGCATGCAACCAGCGAAACGTTGAGACGGAAGCGTCCTTGGCTTACTCTTCGATACTGAAGATGGAGGAAGTGAGTTCCTCCTAAACGTCGGTAAACTTCTACCGGACTTCGTGGCATCAGTATACCAGAAGATAGTACTCATCGTGTTTAAGTGCCGTGAGAACGTCAAATCACATATAAATGCCCTTCATTCCCTTCTAAGGAGGAAGGAGGCTAACAGAGTCACGCCCGTGTGTTTGTCAGCGTTTGCCGCAACTTCCTGAGGTACAGCCACTCACCCACTCAGCTGTCTCATCATTCAGACACCCCTTACCTGCTCATACTTGAAAACGTTAAATTAAAAGCAAAGGGACAAGGAAAAGTTGTCCTTGTGCTCAGATAAGATCCACGCCATAAAGACACATGGAAAAGGTGAGGAATAGGTCCGCCATTCTTGATCTCGACACTAAACGGAGAAGAGTGATCAGATTCACGCCTTGGCCGCTTTATCTCTACGGAAAGAGCCCCCGGTAACAATTAGATAGGAGGTTGGCTGACCCTAGAGCCAGTCTGGACACTGTGGGAAGAAAACCTCTTACCCCTGCCAGGGATTAAACCCCTGAGGTCTAGACTGTAGCCTGTTGCTATATCGACTGAGCTATGGTAACTCCTGAAACGGCAAGCACTTTGGGTAATAAATAAATCCGAAAATGTGACGTGAACCTTTATGTAACGACACGGCTTGAACTACAGG